CAGAGAGCAGAATTGTGGCTATTAGGCTTCAATGTGGGTTTTTAACAATGGGGAAATGATTGGTTTAAGGATATAAAACTGCAGTTGGACAAGAAGCAGGGACTCTGTGATGTCTTGAGGTCTACTGAGAGCATGATAAATATGGCTGATAACAATATGCTATATTTTAGAAGTTGTGAGATAGTATACTTTAAGTGTTCTCAAAACAAAAATGATGAATATGTGTGATATAACATGCTAATTGCTTTAATTTAGCCATGCCATTGTGAACATACTGTATTATGTATCATAATTGTGCATGACTTTATTTATGAGTTAAATAAATGAATGGAAAAAATAAAACAAAAAAAGAATCCCTCATATTGTTTTTGGCAAAAAGGGATGTGTGCATGTGTGTGTGTGTTTATTAACTTTTTTGTATCAGGAGAGATTAAATAATGATCCCAATCACTCTGAAAAGCACAGAAAGCTGCATTGATTCTTCTAGAAGTCCCATGAGCAATCTCTAACTTCAGTAAACAAAGTCCAAACTTAATATAAATCTTATTTTCAACAAAGGGAATCATATAAAAACATGCTTAAATTTATTTGCATCATTCTCAACAATCAATTTATTTTATATTACAATTTATTATTTACAAATACTATTTTTGCTAGCATTATAAGTAAAAATTGTAGCATTATAAGTAAAAATAATAAAAATTATTGGTTGAGTGTCACCGAGGCGTTTGGTGATGCTGTAGCTACTTTATTTATACTTTCCGAACTAACTCCAAACTTTAAGAAAGGGGAAACTAAGATTCATTTGCCACAAGTGTCACCACCAGAGCCTGGCAGAGATGGCCATCCTGCCTCCAGTGCTTGAGTTTATTCCAGCATCGTCACTGTACTGGGGGCATTGTGCCTTCCTCACCTCTGTGTCCCCAAGATGTCATGCATAGTGCTTAGCTGTCTGAAGCCATTTAGCAAATGTAAAACCATCTGAATGCACAAGGCTGGTGGTAAATTCCTGTTGACATCTCCTCTGCAGGTGGTGACCACGACAGAGTACCTCAGGAAGCGGTTTGGTGGACAGCGGCTCCAGATCTACCTCTCAGTTCTCTACCTCTTCATCTGTGTGATTTTGAGGATCTCGGTGAGTTCCCTGCCTCCTGGCATTGGAGATTCCACAGTTTCCCTGTTGGGGGCAGCTGCTGAAATCATAGACTGTGGATAGCACTAGCAGGGTTGAAACTTCCAGATGTCTCCAACTTCCTGGGGTTTCTCTCATAAGTCTGCCTGGGTGGGAAAACTCTCAGAATATCCACACCCTAGAGCAGCAAACTTTCACATAAGGAGAACCACAAGAGTGTAACTCCAACCTCTGAGAGCATTTCATGTGTGAAAATGCAAGTGTGGCCACAGCAAATGTCAGTCATGACAGTAATAATGTCTGCTTCCTATGGGTGCCTCTTGGCTTCTGCCCTGCCCACGGCACAGTAACTTTCTCTGAGCCAGCTCTGACTTAACATTTTTCTTTTCAATTTAATGATCAAGTAACTGATCTAGAAAAGAAGTACTTGTATCTTTAACCCACTTAAGTTTGCCTTATCAAAAAGACTGCCCTTGTAAAACCTGTATCATAAATGAGAGGCTAAAATGATTATCCCTCGGAAATCATCTCTGATGAAAGATGACAACCTTTTGAACTTTGAGCAGCACAAGAAGAAAGAGTAGCCTATTTATCCATATGGATTAATGTCTAATAAAACATCTGAGTTCATAGCTGGGGCACATGTGTCAGTGTTCAGGATAGAAAAGTTGTCTTCAGCTCTTCTGTTGGGCTGGGTTACTGTTACAAGTGAACCAGCTGCTGGGCCCAGATCCTATGGACTTTCCTAATGCCATGTGAGCATTACTAGCCTGTATTGAGCTGTGCTTAGTGTTAACAAAGATTCACAAGCAACAGCAGTTACCACATGTCAAGAAGATGAAAATTTTCACACTAATACTCGGCTACTTATGGATACGTAAGCAGAAGGTGTGACTTGCACAGCCAGGAAAGGTGTCAGTACCTGACAGGTGGAGTTAGAAATGGCCTTTGGATTAAACAGTCCACGAGTTGGGAAGGTTAGAAGAAGCAGAAGAGACTTTGTGTTCATGGGTTCTACAGTGGATAGGACTTCCTAATCTCTGAGGTCTTCTCAGCCATCTACAGCTTTATCTTTCCAAAGATCATGAGTGAGTCCCGAAACTGAAGGGCATCAGTTACAGGATCCCTTGAGGGGTTTGTCCTTTTGGGGTGCATGGTTCTGGGTGGTAAATAAGGAATTGGATAGAGTTAAGCTGGGTGGCGTGCAAGGAATCCACGCACACGTGAGTGTTTTCCATGTGTGTCTGTAATTGGCTGATGACGCAGCCTCAGTCCTTTTGTGCCCACAGGGTTAAGTCATGAGTGATTAATGATGACGATTAACCTTAAACATGTTTGTTTATACACACATTCACACGATAGCCAATTCCATCCTGGCTACTTCTTAAGCAAATCATTACAAGAACTTAAGATGGAAGAGTTTTCAGAATCTCCCCTGGCAGGACTGAGAAAAGATCAATCCCGAGTTACAACCTCCACGGACTTGAACATTGAGACTCATTGGTGATGTCCTGTAATCCCCAAGTATTTTAAGTCAGACTTCCAACAAGTACTGCTGCGATTCTGGAAAACAACAAAACTGGAAATTTACATAGCTACAAACTACTGTTTTACTGAGATATTAGTAATTGTTCCAAAATGTTCTCTTTTAGCAAAAGAAAATCCGGTAGCTGTTGGGTTTTTTTGTTTTTCTTCTTGTTTGGGGGCCTGCAATCTAGCTCCCAAATAAATACATGGGAATTAGTCTTACATATAGAATGCCTGGCCTTAGCTTGGCTTATTTCTTAAATTATCCTGTCTACATTTTGCCTCTGGGCTTTTACCTTTCTTTATCCTATAGGCATTTCCTTAGTTCTTACTCCATGGCTGTTTGCGTTGCTGGGTGGCTGGCCCCTGGCATCCTCTTCTCCTTTTCTCACTCCTTCGTTTTCTTCCTTCTTCTATTTATTCTCTCTGCATGACAGCCCTGCCTATTGCTATCTTGCCTAGCTATCAGTCATTCAGCTCTTCATTAGACCAATCGGGTGTTTTAAGCAGGCGAAGTAACACAGCTTCACAGAGTTAAAAGAATGCAACATATTTTACATCATTAAACAAATATTCCACAGCATAAATGAATCTTCAACTAATATTCCACAACATTTATCTCTTGAAATAGGTCAGTCCCATATAAGATGATGAGAAATGTGTGTGTGTGTGTGTGTGTGTGTGTGTGTGTGTGTGTGTGTAAGTGTAGGTGTGGCCATTGGTAGTTTGTGCACGGTGGCATCTACCTTCAATCCCATCATTTGGGAGGCAGAGGAAAGTGAATCTCTGAATTGGAGGTCAGGCAGGGTGAAACCCACCTCCCCCCCAAAGAAAACATTCTAATTTTAAATATATATATATATATATATATATATATATATATATATATATGGGTATATCTCCATGGTAACTGCTTCCTGTGCCAGCATAAGGACCTGAGTCTCAATGTCTAGCACCCAAGCATCAATTCAGACATGGTCATGTGCTCATCTACAACTCCAGAGCAGGGGACCAGGCAGGGGAAAACAGGAGGACTGGTGGGTTTGTGCACCACCTACTTACCTGTATGTAGTTCTCTGAAAGTAACTGTCTCAAGGAAATAAGGTGGCAAATGATAGATCACAATATCACACACACACACACACACACACACACACACACACACACAACTCATACACACTACACACAATTTTTAAAAGAGACTATATATTTTTGTTCCACCACAGTCAGAGATTCCCATAGATAACTAATGAGCAGCCCTAATCCCCGTGGTACAGAGAATTCTCAGGCCAGGGCACCTTATTTAATTAGGGCCTCAATGGAGCAATGAACTAATTGCTTTGAAGATAAGTGGTGGATGAAGCTGCTGTTTGAATATCTTCCTGTGGAATATGTATGTAGTGTCTTCAGGGGTGAATAGGAGTTCACCAGGAACAGGGTGGGGCATGGAGCCTTGAAAAAAGAAGCCAGAGTCTTGAAATGTATGCCTCTCCCGTCTTCACTGTTCCCTTTCCAGGCAAACATATTTTCTGGAGCCATATTCATAAAGCTGGCCTTTGGGTTGGACCTTTACCTGTCGATCTTCGTCCTTTTGGCTATCACTGCTGTTTTCACAATCACCGGTGAGTCTTCTGTGTCCTTGGTTGAGTTGTGCCACCTCCTGCCGATCCCACCCACGTGTGTGCATATGTGTTTGTGCCTGTATCAAACTGCAGAAAACATGGCCACTGAATAAGATACTCAATTAAAGAAACAGTACTATATTCCCACACTAGAGAAGAAAAGGGTTTTGCTGGATGGATTTGCACAGGGACCAGCTCTATAGGAGAAATCTGAGGATTGTTAAGGAAAACTAAATTGATATTAAACTTTTGCCCCTTTTCCTACTTAATATTTATAAATAAGTATAAGAAACCACATTGCAGAGAAAATTTGAATCAGACAGATACAAGACAAGGGTTCTGCATGGTCCCATGTCCCAGAGCTAAAGAAGCTGAGATAGGAGGATTGAGGGATCGAGGCCAACCTGGGCTACAGAGCAAGGCCCTGTCGAGAAAGAGACAAAGGTGGAGGGAGAAGGGACATGGAAGTGAGGAGAAGGAGGGCTCACGGCCCATCTTCCAAATACATCACACACAGAGTCTATTCTTTCTTATGAAAGAATGGTAAAATATAAACTAATATTAATTTATAGTTAGAGCTAATCAGTAAGAAGCCTAAGCCACTGGCCAAACAACTGTAACAGACATTAAACCTCAGAGTGGTTATTTCATAAGTGGTTTCGGGGACCAGGTGGGTGGTTAGAAGCTGGTCCGGTGGGACCAGTAAGACAGAGAAAGTCTTCTTCCACATCTGGTGCACCAGATAATGCAGGAGGTAGTGTGAGAATTACAAATCGTCTTTATTATGGGGATACAAAAGGAATTTCAATTCAAAGGGAAAACACAGACTCACAGAAAACTGGGCCCATCGCTCTGCCCTAGGAGATGTGAACAGCCACACACACTTGCTTCTTCTCCAAACTCCAGAGTACGCCTCTTCTCTTCACTTATCAGTCCACACATAGCACCCAGACAATACCCTAATGGTCCAGTACCCCAAAGGCTATTGATTGAATGAATTTCCACAACATAACAGTAAAACTATATACAAAAAACAGTTATCAAGTAAGAATTAATTTACAATATTCAGACCATCTGTATTTAGCAAATTCAGAGAAAACACTCCACCATCCACCCATCTTAGGGACTCTAAAATTTTATACCTAATTTACTTTCTTATCATAATTAAGGAAGATTGCAACTATCTAGTCTTCTATCTAGTCTTCAACTCCATCCAGGATAGCAGATGCATAAAATATTACCCAACAATGGAAACATTTGGCTGCTTGGACAGTCACCAAAAATTTCTTTGCAATGTTGGGGCATCCATCTTCAGCCTACAGGCCTAGAATATCTGGAAGACTTTTCGGTGAAGTGGGAAGTTTGAAGGACCCTTGTGCCTTGTATTGGCAAAGTTCATTAGTTGCTTTCCCTGTGTTCTATAGTATGTCTGGTATAATTTTCTATGAAGAAGGACTCTCAAAGGACTCTCCTGCCTTGTTTTGGCAAAGTTCAACAGTCTCTTTCCTATGTGTCCTGCATGTCCAATTTGTACAGCATACTGTCAGGCAGTCCGGACAAGAACAGTTTCTTGCCAAATTAGCTAGTTTGTTACAACAAAAGGAAACTTGATAATGAGTTTCTGTGGTGCCCATCATCTTCTCTGAAGTAAATTGATGCTGCCAGGAGCAGATGTGTACAATTTTCATGAAAACCTTATATTAACACATCATTTTTTTGTCTTTCAAGTCAAGGTCTCTCTGTAGCTCTGACTGTCCTGGCACTCACTCTGGAGACCAGGCTAGTCTCAAACTCACAGAGATCCACCTGCCTCTGCCTCCCAAGTGCTGGGATTAAAGGCATGTACCACCACTTCCCAGATTAACAAAATAATTTAAATGCCATATTCTGTAGGTCTTTGAAGTGTTGAAAGACCAGTTATCTATCCAAATATATCTGTTTAACCTTGAAAATATACCTGATGTGACTACAGGTTTGGTTATTATAGACTACTAACCTCATTTCTCAATTATACATTGTGCTTTTAAATGAGCTACATAAGTACAATTCTCCAAACAAGAGTAGTAACAGACATTCAGCATAACAAAAATAACTTTAAATTTGAATCCAAAATTTATGCCAATTCGAGATATTTGAGATTAGTAGTCTTTTTATCCTATAATCCCATATTCCCTAAATGGTAACCAACATCAAGAACCAAGCAAATGTAGTTGGTTTTTTCAAACTTTTGGCTCTTTGGCTCTTCACTCTTTGTTGGAGGTTCCTGCCACCAAGCTCCCAAATAAATCACACACAAGTCTTATTCTCTCTTATGAATGCCTGGCCTTAGCTTGTCTTATTTCTATCCAGATTTTTTTTTTTTTGCTTAAGTTACCCTGTCTACATTTTGCCTCTGGGCTTTTGTCTTTCTCTATTCTGCTTGCTCTGTAGTTGGGTGCTTCCCTCCGCCCCCAGTCCTTCTTGTCCTGCTCCTCCAGTTTCTTCCCAGATTTCTCTTCCTATTTATTCTCTTTCCCCGCCAGCCCTGCCTATCCTTTCTCTGTCCAACTAACAGCCATTCTATTCTTTATTAGACCAACTAAGTGTTTTAGACAGACAGAGTAGCACAGTTTCCCAGAGTTAAACAGATGTAACATAAAAGAACGAAGCACATCTTTGCATCACTAAAACAAAAGTTCCACAGCTAAACAAACTTAACACATCTTAAAATAATATTCCACAAAAGCTAAAGAAAGCATAGGACTATGAAAGACATATAAGGGAGATATTGCTATGGGGACAGGCTTATTGAGGCATGGTGGGTCTTATTTGTAATCCCACCAACTGGGAACTGAGGCAGATGGATTGCCAGGAGTTCAAGACCAGCATGGCAAACCTAGAGATTCAAGATCAGGCTTGTCTAAACCTATCTCAAACAAAGTCAAACTGATAGTCAAGCTTGTGATTCAGCCAGGAGCCTTTTCATTTTCTTGCTTTGTTTCTTGTTGCAAAGTCTAAGCTGCCCAGTCTGTCTTTAGACTGACTCTGGACCTCAGAGGACCTTGAGGCTTGCAACCTTTTTGTCACAACCTAGCAGGCAGCTGGACTAATGGGTTCACTCGTGGCAGCCAGGGACTTTGACTGGTTCTTCCTGCCATTTTTAATGTTTCTTTATACATTTGGGCTGGAGGAGAAGCCAGTTCTGAGGGCAAATACATAAGTGCATGGAATCAAACTCTGCTTACTTTCTTGGTCTCCACAGGGGGCTTGGCATCTGTGATTTACACAGATACCCTCCAGGCCGTTATCATGCTGGCTGGATCTTTCATCCTCATGGTGTTTGGTAAGATGGGATTACATCTACAGATCCCTAGGTTCTTGTTTCTGTCTATCTGTTCATTATCTAAATTCTCCTGGGCCATGTTTTCCTTTTGATTATTTAATCCCCACCCATGGAAACATTTGCCTAACTTCTTTCTTGCTTTCTCTGAAAGAGCATTGCTTTGGTTATCTATGTTATTTAACCTTAGTTTCTTCATTCTCAGATCGGATGAAAACCCTTGGTTGATAACTTTAGAGAAGTATTGGTTGAAAGTATAAAAACCTTTGATTTCTGCTGTAGTTGTATCAGTAAGGTAATAACTACTAAAGAGGCCATTTTAAGTGAGTGAGGCAAAACCCCTAGCTAGACCTCTCAATGGGTAGAAAAAGAGCTTATTGGGGAACGAACTCCAGGTTTCACACAGGAATAGAGAGCAGCTGTGTATCAGGAGAGAAGGCCACTGAGATTTGCATGGACTCCAATTTTGCAGCATTTATTGAAGTTGGAGGCTATGAAAATTTTACAGAAAAGTACATGAACGCCATCCCTTCTGTCATCGAGGGGGACAACCTGACGATCAGCCCAAGCTGCTACACTCCTCGGCCAGACTCCTTCCACATCTTCCGAGACGCTGTCACTGGAGACATTCCATGGCCGGGAACTATATTTGGAATGGTTACTACGGGCATGTGGTACTGGTGCACAGACCAGGTAAGTAAGAGTGTGTGTGTGTGTGTGTGTGTGTGTGTGTGTGTGCGTGCGCGCGCACTGTGGGCAGTGCTGCCTCTGGATTGATGGTCCTGGATGCTCTAAGAAAGAAGGGTGAGCAAGCCACGAGCCCCAAGTCAGGAAGCAGCATTCCTTCGTGGCTTCTGCTCTACTTATCTCTGTTCCTGGATTCCTTCCCTGGCTTCCTTCAGTGTTGGGCTTATGAACTATAAATTGAAATAAATAATTTTCTCTCCAAATTGCTTTTGGTTGTGGTGTTTTATCACAACAATAGAAACTCCAACTAAAGGCAACTAATCAGAAGAAAGCATCCCTGTTTTTTGACAGCATTTTAGAAGAAAACACCAAGAAGTCGTGGTTTAATGAGGAGCTTAGGATACAGATCAGCAGTCGAGCACCTGCCTGGCATACCCACGACCCTGGGGTTGAACCCCCAGCACTGCAACTGGTGGGGGGAGAAAAGAGAGGTATACAAGGTGCTATGGAATTGCTTTATAAACCCTGATTTTCTACATAAATCTGAAGTGATTTACATAAATCCAGTAGGCATTAAAAATTACAGGTATTCTTCTCTGAGGATCATCACGACTAAACATGATTCATAGCTAGGAGTTCTCAGAACATTCTGAAAATCATCTACATGAATGTCTGAGTGACCTACTCCCTGCCTGACTATTGTGTTCCCACAGCAACAGGTATGACTAGTCAAAGAGGCAATTACCACGTAACAGTAGGAAGATCCTGATGATGCCTGCATTATTCAATCCCAGCTTAAAACACAACATAGGTTAGGGTTACTACTGATCGGCACTGTTGCTATTACAATGCAGCCTGGATACTTTACATTCTCGTGCATATAGGCAGAAATTGTCACAGTACACCTGGAGAGGTCAGAGGACAACCACAGGTGCCAGTCTTCACATTCCACCTGGGTCTCTTGGTCACTGCTTCATGCACCAGCCTAGCTGGCCAGCAAGTTCCCAAGGATTTTCCCATCTCTGTCCCCCGTTATCCATAAGATCACTGGGGCTACAGACACGTGCCACCTTACCTAGGTTTTCGTGGATTCTATGGACCCAAACCTGGGTCCGTGGGCTTTCACGGCAAGTGTTTTACCCACTGAGACATCTCCCCAGGAACTTCTAAGCATAACTACAGCTAACATGTACTGACTATGTATACCAAGAGTGTTGCATGCATTGCTCATATTCAGAATGTTATGAGGGTATAAGACTGCTTGAGTAATGAAGCCACACACTATACAAATCAAATGATGCTTCAAATCGTAACGTTCTTCCAAAGCCCATTAGTTTCCACCAACGCCATCATTTCTTATTGAGGTTTCAAACCCTGAAAGGCAGCTTGGACATCATTTTCTGGTTGTCTCCCTCACGGTATTGTGTCTTCCTGGCAGGTCATTGTGCAGCGCTGCATATGTGGTAAGAATATGTCCCACGTGAAGGCTGCCTGCATCGTGTGTGGGTACCTGAAGCTGCTGCCCATATTCTTCATGGTAATGCCAGGGATGATCAGCCGCATTCTGTACACAGGCAAGCCACGGGCACACTTACTCTCCATTTTATGCTTGATTCTCATAAGTGTTTTTAATTGTTTGGTTTATCTTCTGTGTATGAATGTTTTGCCTACATGCATGTCTGTATTGCATGCATGCCTGATGCACGGTCATAAGATGGCATCAAATCCTCTGGAACCCGAGTTATGGATGGTTGTGAGCAGCCATGGGGATTCTGGGAACCAAACCCAAGTCCTCTGCAAGAACAGCAACTGCTCTTGATTGCTGAGCCACTATACTCCAAGCCCAAGTATTTTTAAGATATAGAAAAACCTTAATAAAAAACAGGAAACCTGTTCTAGGTAGGAATAGAAGGAGAAATCAAGGATGAGAAAACAGCTTGTACCGGGTGTCAGAGGCTGGAAAATCCGTTTGCAGTACTTGACACTGCTTCTCTTTATACTCTGTCCTTGAAAACATTTGAAACAGTGAGTCCTTTAAGTCTGGAGAATATGGTTGAAGGGACACTGGGGTGTGGTGGAATTTGTATAGGATGAATTAATGAGCTGCTGATGGTGAGTACAGGAAGGTAACAAGATGGACCTGTTTCATGGATCCCTGAAACAGGTGGATTTGAATAGCTTTCCTCTGCCATGGAAACAAGTGTTGGTGAATACACCGATTTCTGAAAAGCTGGGGGTAACTACCCGTTTGGATTTTTCTTTTTATTTGTGATAGATTTTTCATACAGTGTATTCTGGTTTTGCTTTCTCCTCCCCCAACTCCTCCAAGACACTCCCCATCCCTCCTCCTACCTGAATCCATACCTTTTTCAGTCTCTTGTTAGAAAGCAGGCATCTAAGGAATAAATAAAACAAAAAGAAACAAATTGAAATAGGATGCAACAAAGGAACAGAGAATAGCAAAATAAAAAGCACAAGAAACACATATAAACACAAAAACACACAAGATTGCACACACAGGAATCCCATAAACACACACACACACACAGAGAAATGGAAGCCATAATATATATTCAAAGGACCTCTAAAGTATAAATTATCCTTTCAAGTTCAGTAAAGAATTGTTCTGGTATTTTGATGGGGATTGCATTGAACTGTAGGTTGTTCTTGGCAGGATGAACATTTTTTATTATATTAATCCTTCCCATCCATGAGCATGGGAGAGCTTTCCATCTTCTGATATCTTTTTCAATTTCTTCCTTCAATGTCTTAAAGATTTTATCATTCAAGTCTTTCACTTGCTTACTTAGAATTACCCCAAGATTGTGGAAGAGTTTGCTGCCTTGATTTCTTTCTCAGTCCACTAGTTACTTGTGTATAGGAGCTACTGATTTTGTGAGTTAATTTTGCACCCAGCTACTTTGCTGAAAGTGCTTAGCTGATACGAGAGTTTCCTGATGGAATTTTTAGGGTCACTTATGGATATACTATTACACTATCTGTAAATAAAGATATTTTGACTTGTTCCCTTCTACTTCAGAGCCCTTGATCTCCTTCACTTGCCTTATTGTTCAAGCTAAGACTTCAAGGACTATCTTTAATAGGTACGGAGAGAGCACACCCTTTGCCTTATTCCTGATTTTAGTGGAAATGCTTTGAGTTTCTCTCCATTTAAGTTTATGTGGAATATAGGCTTGCTGTACATTGCATTATTATGTTGAGGTATGCCATCTGCATACTAATCTTTCTAGGGTAGTTGTTCTCTACCTGTGGTTCTGGACCCCTTTGGGGCCCAAATAATGCTTTCACAAGGGTTGCCCAAGACCATTAGAAAGCACGGATATTTACATTATAATTCATAACCACAGCATAATTACAGTTATGAAGTATCAATGAAAATAATGCTATGGTTGGGGGTCACCACAACATGAGGGACTGTATTAACATGTAGCAAGCATCATTAGGATGGTTGAGGACCGCTGCTCTAGGGCTTTCAATACCAAGGGGTGGTGGATTTTGTCAGAAGCCTTTTCTGCATCTAATAAGATTATTGTGCTTCAGAATGTTTATATGGTGAATTAATTTTTTAATTTATATATGTTGAACCATCTCTGGAACTCAAGTAAGAAGTCTACTTGATTATGGTGGATGATTTTTTTGTTGTGTTATTGTATTGGTTTGCAAGTATTTTATTGATATTTTTGCATCTATGTTCATGAGGAAAAGTTGCCTGTAATTCTCTTTCTCTGCCTGTTTGTTTGTGTGTCAGTGTATCTGTGGCCTGGTACAAAAATATTTGGGCAATGGTCCTTCTGTTTCCGTTTTGTGGAATATTTGTGTCAATTCTTCTTTGAATCTTTGGTAGAATTCTGTGCTAAACCCACCTGGCCCTGGATTTTTTTAAACCTGGGAGCTTAATTGCTGCTTCTAATGCACTGGGAGTTATAGGTATATTTAAACTGCTTATCTGTCTTGATTCAACTTTGTTAGTTGCTACATATTGGGAAAATTATCCATTTCTTTTATATTTTCTAATTTGGTAGAATAAAGTATTCCTTTATGATTCTCTGGATTTCTTCAGTGTCTGCTGTTATATACCCCTTTTGTCTCTAAATTGGTTAATTTGCATCTTTTCTCTATGTCTGTTAGTTGATTTGGCTAAGGGGTTTTCAATTGTACTGATTTTCTCAAATAATCAACTCTTTGTTTCATTAATTCTTTGTAATTTTTTTAAAGATTTATTTATTTATTATGTATACAACATTCTGCTTCCATGTATATCTGCACACCAGAAGAGGGCACCAGATCTCATAATGGATGGCTGTGAGCCACCAGGTGGTTGCTGGGAATTGAACTCAGGACCTCTGGAAGTGCAGTCGGTGCTCTTAACCTCTGAGCCATCTCTCCAGTCCCAATTCTTTGTAATTTTTGTTTCTATTTTATTGATTTCATCCCTGAGTCAGATTACTTCTTGCTGCCTACTCCTTTCGTGTGTGATTTCTTCTTCATCTTCTAGATCTTTCAAGTGTATTGTTCAGTTACTAACATGAGATATCTCCAAAATTTTTAAATATGCATCCAGAGCTGTGAACTTGCTGCTTAGACATCCCTTCATTGTTTCCCACATGTGTGGTTATATTGTGTTTTCATTTCATGCAATTCAAAAAAGGTTTGAATTTATTTCTGTCTTCATCCACTTTTTGTTTGGTAGCGAATGAGTTAATCAGTTTCCATGAATTTCTAAGTTGGTGTTGGTGTTGTACTTCAGCTTTAGTTTGTGTTGCTCAGGTAAGACACAGAGTGTTATTTCAACTCTCTGATGTCTGATGAGATTTGCATTATGTCCAACCATGTGGTCAGTTTTGCAGAAAGTTCTGTGAGTGGCTGAGAAGAAGGCATGCCTTTTGTTTTTGGGTAAAATGTTCTGTAAATATGTTAGATCCATTTGATTTATAACATCAGTTAGCTCCAGCATTTTTCTTTTTAGTTAGTTGTCTGGATGACTGCTATGTATACTCTTTCCCACCAGCCATCTGGGTCCTGCCACCACTTCAGCCCCCAAAATAACACCCGAGACATGATATTAATTATAAAGTGTTGGCCGTTGACTAGGGCTTCTTATTGGCTAGCTCTGTCTTAATTACTAACCCATTTCTATAAATATAAGTACTTCCACATGGTCTTATCTTACCAGAGAAAAGGTCCACGCCTCTTATTCCATTACATCACATCTCTCTGTGCCTACCCTTCCCAGAATCCTCCTCATCTCCTAGACCCACCTATCTTGCTTCCCTATTGGCCAACAGTGCTTTATCCATCAACAAATAAGAGAAACATGTTTACAGAATGCCATCTCCCATCAGATGACCAGTCTATTGGGATATTGACGTCACCCACTATCAGTTGTAAGGGTCAATATGTGATTTAAGCTCTTGTAGTTTTTCTTTTATGAACTTGGGTGCCCTTGTGGTTTGTGCATAAATGATAAGAATTATGATATGCTCTTGGATTTTTTTTTTTGCTTTGGTGAGTATGTAGTTTCCTTTTCCATATCTTCTCATTAATTTTGCTTTCAAGCCTATTTTTGTCAGATATTAAAATGGCTACGCCGGCTTGCTTCTTAGGCCCATTTGCTTGGGAGATGACAGACAATGGAAATGAACTGGAAGAGAAAGCTGAGGGGTGTCTACAGGAGGGAGGAAAGCAGGGTGGGCCATCAGGATTTAGTTAGTTCCCTGAGAATGAAGGTAGAGAGGGAGAAGAGGCTAGAACTAATGGTCTGCTGCAGGGCTGGAGATAGGGGGATTAGACTTGGAGCAGAAGAAGGATCCGAAAATGTCTATCTGATTCACTGGTCTTTGTAGCTGGTGGGATTCTAGAGAATGCCTCCAGATTTTGTGGCTGAGACAAAGGGATGCGAGAGGGAGGACGGCTGCAAGATCCACCAGAGATGGGGGCAGATGGGAAAGGGAGGCCATGGCAGGTGATATGCTACAGAGCTGGGGTGAGACAGGGGACTGGATTTGAAGGAGTGAAGATCGTCCGCTGCTTCCTGGCCGTGGGTGTCCACGGAATGCTGGAGGGCAGTCAGCTCCTCCCACGTGCTCTGAAGCTCTAGCTGGGTCATATCTAAGGGACAGTCCTGCCTGTTGGATCAGCCCATCGACATCTGTGCAAATGAGTCAATGACAATGTCATGGTCTGAGGAAAGAGGTACCGGATCTTTGATATAAAATTCAAAATTGAATCTCTATTTCCAGGCAAGTGACTTTCCTTCCACCTGTGAGTTTACCTCTTCGTCCAGTGGTTTCAAACAGTGCCAACTTGAGTCCAGCTCACTAAAATCACCTCTGAATGTCTCCCCAGATATGGTGGCCTGTGTTTTGCCTTCGGAGTGTGTAAAACAGTGTGGTGTTGACATCGGTTGCACTAACTATGCCTACCCGATGTTGGTGCTGAAACTGATGCCCATGGGTAAATAAAAGCCTGAGCTCACACAGCCTCAGATGCCTACAGGTGAGCATAAAAGGGTAGCGGTATAGCCCTCAGCAACCAGTACTTTACTTCCATCAATTCTGCTCTGTTTGGAGACATTTCTTGGGCACTTTTCACATGTTGCCAACTTTATGTGGGGCCTGGGTATTCCAGAGATGGGCCAGATGTTTTCTGTTTGAAGAATCTTGACTCATTAGACCCAAGACTCTTTGAAGTAAATTCAGAATATTTTCGTTGTCTCTTTGCTAATAAAAGGCATTGCTTAACCACAAACCTGTATATCCAAAGGAGTCAAGGTTAATTATGGGCCAGTGACACTTAGACATTAGATCTCAACCTATTCAATTTATAATCATTTACTGAGTGTTTATTTCCCAGACATTAGATTGGGTGTGCAGAAACATTGGCAAAGTTACCAAAATGAGTTCCCCTACCATTTAGAATTCACATTTCAGTTTCCTGGGATATAAAATAAGCTGCACATGTGAAGAAGTTAAAGTATTTAGATGCTGGAAGGTGACTCTGGGGAATTGAAGCAGAGCAAGGTAGAGAACTCAGGTGTGACCAGTTGAAAACTTGGGTTAACACTTCCATGGCCCTTTCTCCATCCTGATACACAAATTTTCAGGATGAAGGGAACACAGCCCACAGATCTGACACCACCTTCCACCATCCTCTGTTCTAGCAGATGTGGGGCCAGAGGGAACTAGGGAATCAGGTTCCTATAATGATTCCAAATTCTTGGCTTTTCCTCTCTAGAAACAGCAGAACCATTAACTAGATTTTCCCACTAAATATTTGTGCAGTCAAGAGATCACATAACGAAAGATGGCCTGACATGGTTTATTCTAAAACTAGGTTTCAATAGATGGCATCTGAATTTGTGCCGGGGGCTAAATTCCCCATTGTGTGATACTGAGATCTCCAGGAATTATGCAGGAAGTGCCACGTGCATTTCTCTTATATGTGTATTTTGATGTCTGCTTAAATAGTCAGTGTTCCAGACAAATTCATTGTCTTGAAGCAGCACCCTATTTTTAGCCTGGCACTCATAGAAAAGGATATGCAGCCACTAACCAGAGCTTCACCTCTCCTGACCCCAGGACTTCGAGGCCTGATGCTGTCAGTCATGGTGGCCTCCCTCATAAGCTCCCTGACCTCCATATTCAACAGTGCCAGCACCCTCTTTACCCTGGACCTCTACACCAAGATGAGGAAGAAGGCATCTGAGAGAAAGCTCCTGATAGCTGGACGGTGAGGGAACCTGGTCTCTGCCTAGAAGTCCTCTCAGGAAGGGAAGACATAGAGACAAACTAGAGTTTGCATGTCCTTGGCTTTAGTAAAAATAATCATCATTCTACAGCGGGAGAAGGCACACCAGGGACAATTTAGTTCAACCCATCTCTACGTGAACTAGTATTTCTTGTCAATCATCTAGCATTCTGGGAAAGATAGAGGCTGGTTTAATTCATAGTTATGGAAACTCATTTACTTTTACCTAGCTAAGAAAAGCATAAAAAGTTTTTTTAATCCTTACTTATGGAAACTCATTTACTTTTACCTAGCTAAGAAAAGCATAAAAAGTTTCATTCTACTTTATTATACAAATAACTACTAGTTAACAGAAATGATACAGTCTTAATTTCTGAGATATATACATTGTATTGAAGAATGATTAACCAACAGCTGACATCTGACTTATTAGGAAGCATCAATCTTAGATGAAGCCTTTATGACAGGCTTAGGTAAGTATTGTTGACATTTAATTAACATGATTAGCACAGCATGGGTTCACATCAGCTCAAGAAATGTTTTGTTTTGAAAATAAGTGAATGGCACAAGGGTAAATTTAAAAACTCAACAAATATACCTACGGTGCTGTTGTTTAATGTCTAAATTATCTTTATAGGCTGTTTGTCACTGTGTTAATTGTCACCAGTATCTTGTGGGTCCCGATAGTACAAGTATCTCAAGGTGGACAGCTGATCCATTATACAGAATCAATTTCTAGCTACCTTGGGCCTCCCATTGCAGCTGTCTTTCTGCTCGCCATCTTCTGTAAAAGAGTCAATGAACAAGTAAGTGAAAAACAGGGAGGATTTTCCCTGCGGGTGTAAGAAAATTTGTCTCTCACTGTTATCCCAGGATGTGTTCTTGAAATTCCATTTGTACTCACAAGACCTGTCTCAGTTTCTACCTTAGTAACCATAATGTCTGATCCTTATGAAAGTGTGATTTGACACTTGTCTTTACATAGTTTATAAGTGCACAGTGCAGTGCTGGGGAACATGCACTGTGCACTTTAGGAGATGGACTGTCAGTGTCCCATCAGGACACTAATATACTGATCTGAAGTAAATAGTTCCACTCTGTCCAATGAAGATGTTAACAGTGCCTACTTTATAGAAGTTTCTATGAGGATCAAATGAGATAGTAAAAGCTGGCAAAAAATTAAAATGTGTTCATTGTAATTGTGGTGTGAATAGTTGATCTCTTTACTTTGTATGTCTCATCTCTTATGTGTTTCTAGCTGTTAACTATAGTATGTGATTTTTCAGGAAGTGGCAGATTCACAGCACTTAGTATCTAGTACTTTTTTGGTTCTTCAAATTGTGTGGCATGGATATTGTGATTCTACTTGTTCTACATAATAAAGCACAAGCTTTTATTCTACATATAAAAGACAAATTAGGAAAATTTTCATTTTGGGTCAGTGTTGATAGTAGAGTCCTGTGGTTGGACAGTCAACAGTGTGATGGCATTTCAAGAACACAGAGGACAACTTCCTGATAGCTTGTGTTTGCAATCTTCCCAGTTTTTTGGTCATTACCTAAGAGTACAGTTGTGATTAATTATGACTTACCTGACCGAGCATCTCATATTTCCTAAACTCTCTTGGTTGTGTTCTTATTAACAGGGAGCATTCTGGGGTCTGATGGTTGGACTCGTGATGGGCCTTATCCGTATGATTGCAGAGTTTTCTTATGGGACCGGGAGTTGCCTGGCTGCCAGTAACTGTCCCAAGATCATCTGTGGAGTGCACTATCTGTATTATGGCATAATTCTCTTTTCCGTGTCTGTGTTGGTTATCCTGGGAATCTCATTCTTAACAAAACCCATTCCTGATGTACACATGAGTGATGTACAAACTAGTAGTCCTTTGCTTTCAAAGTTTTGCATACTGGCAACTTCAGCTAATGCCAGACTAATAGGATTGTTGCACTATTAGATTTAGGAAGAACCTAGAAGATAATCAGTTTTCAACTGATCAATTTGATCAAATATGTCTGAAGCAACAGTATATTGCTAAGAAGCTAGAAAATAAGCATACATTTTTAAGGCCAGTGGGATATTTCCATGGGGAAAGGGGCTTGCTAAGCAAGCCCAGCAATAACCTGAGTTCAATCTTTGGAATCCACATAAGAGTAGTAGGGAACTGACTGCAGAAAATCATCCTCTAGCTGCCATGTGTGCCTATGAATGCACCCATAAACACATTGCACACAGATAATAAAAAACAGTGTGTTACTGGATTTTCCTTGTCCCGCCAAGTCCTGCAGCTGTTTCAGCCCCAGATGAAGACTTTATGCTATTAACCATAAAACTGTTAGCCGATGACTAGGACTTATTGGCCAGCTCTGTCTAGATTATTAACCCATTACTATAAATCTATGTATTTCCGCATGATCTTGGCTTACGGAGAATGCCCAGACCTGTTACTCCTTTTATTGCTACATGGTGTCTCTCCAAGGTCTCTCTCTCTGCCTACCTTTCCCAAAATTCTCCTCATCTCCTAGTCCTACCTATCTTCCTGCCATACTGGCCAAACAGTGTCTTATTCATCAACCAATAAGAGAAACATATATACAGAAGGACATCCCCCACCAACAGTGAACATACTATTTCACCATGCCGTTGGAGAGCATGTCTATGACATTGTTATAGATACTGGGAAGGGAATAATCACTCTTGTCCTGTAGATGGAGAAAGACCTTACAACAGACCTGTTCATCTGGCCTCTCTGAGGTTGAGCAGAAACTCAGATCCATTGTGAAGTCTGATTTAGGTATGTTTTCTAAAAACAGAGTAACGGTAGTCAAGAAAGGCAAAATAGAACAGTGAGGTAGACCTTTGTCTTTCAAAGACAAAGACAAAAATGCTTACCATGCCTAATATAAAATGTTGGTGAAGATTTAGTAAAATTTCAGCCTCCAGAATTATTAGTAAGTGTTGGGATTGATGCTTGCCTAAGCATGCAACCAGGCACTATTTACTAAGTTTTAATTTTCACAATTTATGAGTCATTAATCTCAGTTTCAGGAGCTGGTACAAATAGAGATACTTGTACCAGCAGGGAAAAAATGTGTGCACCAGGGTTTTCCTGCAAATGTTATTGACTAGGCAACTGGAAAAATTGGAGTACAACCTAAATTGCCATCACTAAGAAAATGACTCGATAATAATAGTGTACTAAATGCCATACACGTGTTTGAAGGCAGATCTGTTACTTGCTTTGAGAATGTCCATAAAGCTGTTCAGTGGGAAGGCACATACAGAATCATATGGGGTCTTATAATATCACTTGTGGAATATGATTTAAATAGTTTTGTATGTGTGTGTGTGTCCCCGTGTGTGTCTACATGTAGACAAAAACATACAGATAGACAACTGGAATTTTCAGCACTATATTTTCCTTGGGACAATAGTAGACACTTTGAGGAGCAAGCAAATATTCATTATTTTGAAGTTTATATGCAATAAAGAATATCAGTATGTAAATATACTATATTTATATTTTATATTATATTTGGAATTCAAGAATTGAACACAGATAGCTGTCTAAATACAATAACAATTCATAGTCAGCACAGAATAGGAAGTGAACAAAGAGGGAGGAAGGTTGGATGGCAATTTGCAACATATACTGTGTCAGAGAATTAAGTTCTGGCATTCTACAGCACAGTGAGGTAATGATATTTCACAACAATGTTATGTAGTTTATGAGAAGATAGAGGACAGGGGTTTGAGGGCTTTCAACACACTCACAAAAGTAAATGTTTAAGAAAATGGAACTGCTAATTTCCTTAATTTGATAATTACATGTTACATGTATGTACCAAATTAGTGCTCTATGCCACATCATTGTGTATAATTGTTATGTATCAAGTAAAACTTTTAAGCTAGGAATGATGGTGCACCAACACCTGAGAGGTGGGGGCAGGAAGATCAGAGGTTCAAGGATATCCTCAGCTACATAGCAAGGTGAACCTAGGCTACATGAGACCCTGGATTAAAAAAAAAAAAAAAATCTCTGGCAAGACTGAAAAAACCCAAAGAAGTTACTATTAACAGATGGACAATAAGGACAATGAAATAACACTGAAGTTACTATTATCAGTTAGACAATAAGAACAATGAAGTTATTATTAACAGTTGGACAATAAGAACAATTAAGTAACAATGAAGTTACTATTATCAGCTAGACAATAAGGACAATGAAATAACACTGAAGTTATCATTAACAGTATACAATAAGGACAATGAACGAAGCCAGCATGTAATTTAGGCTAGGTTAATCTCCCACTTTTCTGAAAGTAGAAATCCCAAAGTAAGTTTTAGAAATTTCAAATTTTTCAATGTTTCCCAAAGAATTAAATACAGATATAATTTTTAAATGGTTCAGGTGATTTGGGGAGTGTGATGTGACAGGGGGACCATACATTACAATCTATAATACCCTTGTGTGCACTCTGACTTTTTTAATTATACAAAAATGAGAGTATTGTTCAGTGTTTGCAAACGTGGGCCTTTTGCTAATGCTCCCTCTGGTCTCCCCTCAGCTGTATCGCCTGTGCTGGACTCTTCGGAACAGTGAGGAGGAAAGAATTGATTTGGATGCAGAAGAAAAAAGGGACGAAGGAGCTGATGATGGCACTGAAGACGGTAATGTGTCACTTACTGTTTGTCATAGTGTGACTTACTGGGGATTTTGATATATACTTTTAATTAGAATATAAGTACATCACGTCCCCTTCCCTTTTCTCCCTCTTGCCCCTCCCAATCCCTCTCCCTCCAACTCCTCCCATCAATTATAGTCTCTTTTCCTTTAATTAATATTGTTACATATATATATATATGTGTGTGTGTGTGTGTGTGTGTGTGTGTGTGTTTGTGTGTGTGTGTGTGTGTGTGTCCCCAATACATAAATACAGCCTGCCGAGTCTGTTTCTATTGTGTGTATATGGTTTCAGGGCCGACAGCTGTGTGTTACATAACTAGTTAGGGGCTCATCCCTAGGAGAGGTTAATTCTCCCATTCTTGGCAGTCATTAGTTGCCTGTAGTTTTTGCCTAGGAGTAGAATGGGGTGAGATTTCCCCACCCCACCCCCTGTTCCATGTTAATAAGTCTATTAATATTGTCATCCTTCTTGTCTTGTTTATACAGCCTGTGCTGGCTAGTTTTATGGCAACTTAATACAAACTAGTTATCTGAAAGGAAGGAATCTCAACTGAGAAAATGCTTCCATAATATCCATCTGTAAGGCACTTTCTTAATTAGTGATTGATTAAGGAAGGCCCAGCCCATGGCAGGTGGTGCCATCCCTGGGCTGGAGTCCTGGGTTCTATAAGAAAACAAGGTAGGTCATATAAGCAAGCCAACAAGCAGCACCTTCCGTGGCCTCTGCATCAGCTCCTGCCTCCAGCTTCCTGCCATGCTTGGGTTCCTGTCCTGACTTCCTTCAATGATCAACTGTTACCTGGAAGTATAATGAAATATAAACTCTTTCCTCCCCAACTTGCTTTTGGTCATGGCGTTTCATCACAACAGTAGAAACCTTAACCAAGACACAGCCATTTCTGAGAAAGAATGTTTCACAGCAGATTTTCTGGTGTTCTGGCTCTTACAATCTCTGTGACCCCTCTTATGAGCTGTTCCCTGAGCCTCAGTTGCAGGAACTGTGATGTAAGTGCATCCCCTGGAGCTTGGCTTGACCTCTGCATTGCGCCGGGTTGTTTTTCTGTAATGATGTCACGTACTGTGGAGATAAGCTTCTTTGATGATGGATGACACCTACACTTAACCTGGTTTCTGCAGTTACCCAATTCTAGAGAAGTTGTTGTTTGTAAAACAAACAAAAACATCCAGATCTCACTTGATAGACATGGAGCACATCCATGCACTCACCTGTAAGTGCGTCTCTCTGTCCATCCATGGTACTTACTCAGGCCAGGTGCTGAGACGACCTTCAGTTACATGTAAACATCTCCATCTTTGTATCTTAAGATTAAGTATCTAGCCTCAACTTCGTTTCTCAGTATTCTCTCCAGTACACCCATAGCAGGAGGGATGCCTCAGCTTTCTTTACACACACCATGATCCTAGGATATTGTCACAAAGATATTTTCACAAATGCATTATTGGAATTTTGGCCCCCAGTTGTGACAACTGGTATTGCTATATAGTTTTAATTTTTAAAGTGAGCTTAAGGTAATTTTTTTCTTCGTTTCCATTGTCTATTAACTCTAAAGTGTGTTTAAATGGACCTCTAGATAGCTTATTCTTTCTTTTTTTTATTTCAGAAACCCATTGTATATTGAGGCTAGAAAAGCCTCTGTGGTATTGTATGCAAATCCCTCTCCCCGTCACCCTCTTTTGTCACTTTTTACATTTACTTTTGAAGATATGTTGCAGCTTTTATATATTTATATAATTTATAAATATTTTCTCAGGATTCTTCTGGCTTTTATAAAAATTGTGATCACTGTTCACAGACATCTCTACAGCTTTGACCAGATGTTGTACCCATCTTTGGTGATACTTTATTTTTCTTACTTTGTTCCAGACCAAACTGAGAAACCCCGTGGATGTCTCAAGAAGACTTATGACTTATTCTGCGGTTTGCAAAAAACAGGACCCAAGCTGACTAAAGAAGAGGAAGAGGTCCTGAAGAAGAAACTCACAGACACATCAGAGGAGCCCTTCTGGAGGAATGTCGTGAACACCAATGTCATTGTCCTCCTGGCTGTGGCAGTTTTTTTCTATGGCTATTTTGGCTGAACTCTATCTCATCCACAAAAATATTGATTAAGCAAAGGATCACGTGAGCATTTTCATTTTATAGTTTGCTATCTTGTGAAGGGGCATCAGCAGTTGGTAATTTTATTTCCTAAGGTTACATCAGAATTTATGTTTTGGTCACCATCCATGCAAATAAAATAGCTTATAATTTACAAAACTACTAAAGTGACTTCATGGAAGTATGTGAAGTAGTCAGAGCCAAAAATCCCTTATTTTACTTTTATGAAGTATAAATGTCAACTCAGTTTTTAAAGATTTAAGAAACACAATGTGGTGAAAGTATTACTATAACCAAGTCAACAGGCACATCCGTAACCTAATATAGTTGTATTATACACAATGAAAACATTCTCCTGCTCTCTCAGCAAATTTGAAGTCAGAGTACATTATTATCCATTGGCACAATGGACCTCCATAATGGATCAGTCTTACAGCCAAACATGTGCACGCTTTAACCATCATCTCTCCTTTTCATCCCATCCCTGGGCTCTTGGAAGCCACCACCACTTTAGTGTTTTTTGTGCTGCTGTAACAAATTTGAAATATTAGGAATTATAAAGAGTACACATTTGATTTTTGTAGTTCTCCAGGAAGGAAATTTAAGAGCCAGAATCTGCAGAGGACATTTTTGCTACAACATTCCATGGCAGCAGGTGGGTGGTCATGGAAGTCTGTGACAAAAGGGAAAGGGAACCAAATTTGTCTTATTACTCCTATAAAAACATTAATTCATTCCTGAGGGAAGAGCCTTCATGTGCTGGTCACCGTGGAGAGGTTCCTTCTCTCAGCACTGATGCTAGGGATCGGATTTTCAACACATGAACTCTGGAGCATCTATTCAACTATGGAATTCTCCCTACCCCTCTCAAATCATATCCATTTCACCCAGGGCATTAATTTGTTTGCAGAACAACTCAGAAGTAAAAAAAACAAAAAACAAAAAACAAAAAACAAAAAACAAAAAACAAAAAACAAAACTCATGTAAATCAGATATGGGTGACACTCAGATATAACCCATTCTAAAACACCCCCTGCTGTCATACTGGGAAGCCAAACATGTTACTTCCAGAGCACAATGACAGAATCTAGAATCCTCCAGGAGATAAACCCGTGGGCATACTTGCATATCTAATTAAGGTTAGCCTCTGAGTATGTCTGGGAAGGATTAACTTGAATTAGGTGAGTCTACGTGGGAAAACCTTTTCAACTGTAGGCAAGACCGTTCCTTGTGGGACTCTTGAGCTGCATAAAATGGAGACAGGGAGCCTAGCGCTCCCATTTTACACTCTCTGCTTCTCTGCTGTGGACGTGATGGGAGTGGCTGCTTCAGGCTCCTGCCACTGAACTGTGTTCCCAAGTAAGGAACAAAGGTTCCTCAACTTGCTTTTGATTGGTGTTTTATCTCATCTCAGCAACAAAGAGAGACAAAGGCACATCAAGCCGCTGGGTGGAGCTAGCCAGCATCCAGAGCAAGCAGGTCCATGTCCCAGGGACCTTGCCTTGTGAAGCAGGCTCGCAGCACATAGCAAAGCAGTTATGGCTGGGGAATGACCATGGCCTGTGGAGACTGAGCATTGAGGCACCTGGGGGAGGGGAGGGGCAGGGTATGTGGCTCCAGAAACTGATTGGTAAAACTGGAAATTTCCAGTACTGGAGAACAAAGGAGACTTTCCTTGTAGACAAAAAGACAAACTAACAACAATATGGAGAGTGCCACCTACTGGTAGAATCTAGGAAAAGAAACAGCAAAATTTTTTTATCAGAATCTGCGTGGAGCCAGAGGTGTCAGCCTTGGAGCTCCTCTGGGAGTGGGAACAGTAATGATTTAAGGTTGCTTTGTAAAAGTTGGTATAAAATGGTGTGAGTATGTGGTGTGTGTGTGTGTGTGTGTGTGTGTGTGTGTGTGGTGTATGTGTGTGTGGTGTGTATGTGGTGATGTCTGTATTGTGTGGTGTATGTGTGTGTTTGGGGTGTGTGTGTGGTGTATGTGCTTGTGTATGTGTGGTGTGTATGTGTGTGTGGTGTGTGGAGTGTGGTGAGTGTGTATGTGTGTATCTGAGATAAACACATATATGTGGTAAAGCTATTGGGGAGATAGAATTCCTCATGCTGCTTGCCTTTATTCCTGGGCATGTAATTATTTAAACGTTTAAGTAATATTTTGTTAGGCCATGTGTGGTGGCTCAAACTCCCAATAGTAGGAAGACTGAGATAGAATCTTTATGGAGATGACAAAGATGACAGCCCTGATAAAAGCTTATTCCTCTGTTGTCGGCAGGACTCAGGACATGCACCCAAATACCCTAACTGTGGGGTGAAGAGGCACTCCTGGGCATACACACGTTCACGTGTACACACATACACACACACACACACACACACACACACACACACACACACACACACCAGACCCTGTTTTGCATTTGTTCTGCTCCTGGATAATTCCAGCTCTAGATGAAAGAGACACTTCCTGACTCATTTATGACTCAATTTTTGGGTAATGCCTGCAGAGCTAATTGCCACATGCAGGTTGTTAGCTAGCAGGACACATTTTTTTGAAGGCCTCCTCCACAAAGACACCAAAATGATTCAGGAAGAGGGATGATAGGTAGAGACTTGGAGAGGCCACTGTAACAGGTTGTTCAGTGAAACAGGGCAGCTGGAGTCTAAGAAAGTAAGAGGTCTCTACCAGAAACACTCACTGAGACACCTCTTAGGTGGGCCAGAACAACCAAGGCCTGCTGTCTCCAATAGAAAACTGGGTGTCTACCACCAGCCTCCCTCTTAGAGTGAATCCAGAAGAATTGGGAACAATTGGGATCCTCAGAAAGAGAAAGCTATTTTTTTTTTCTAAAACTACTTGACCACACAATGACCTAACAAATTGAGAAAAATGACCAAATGATGGCACCTTCCTCCGTGGCATGCGGTTTCATTGATGTGCCTGAGGGGTGTTGGCGGACAGGAAGCCTTTGCAGGTGGCTGTGTCTCAACCTGGACACACGTCCTGTGTGTGTTTTTTGTTTTTGTTTTATTTTTGAGATAGGGTCTTACTATACAGCTCTGGCTGGCCTCAAACTCACTGAGAGCCACTTGCCTCTGCCCACTGAGTAAAGGTGTGTGCCTCATGCCTAGTGCCATCTCTATACTCAGATTAGTTGTACTTTCAACGGTATACTTCACATCAAAATTCTACTAAATATCAAAACAATAAAAAAATATAAATTTACATGTAATACTGAGAAAGATTACAAGGCAGTAAGTAGTGTCCAATCCGATGTCTTAGTTAGGATTTTATTGCTCTGATGAGACACCATGACCATGGGAACTCTTAAAAAGGAAAACATTTAATTGGGGCTGGCTTACAGATCAGTTGTCAGCATGACAGGAAGCATGGCAGCAGACAGGCAGACATGGTGCTGGAGAAGTTATCTGAGAGCTCTATATCTGAATCAGCAGGCAGCAGGAAGAGAGTGACTCTAGGCCTCACTTGAGCATCTGAAACCTCAAAGCCTACCCCCAGTGACAAACTTCCTCCAACAAGGCCACAGCTACTCCAGCAAGGACACACCTCCTAACAGTGCCACCATGGACCTATGGGGGTCATTTTCACTCAAACCACCACACCATACTTATGAGAAACAGCGTGTATGCATAGAAACAGGACACACGGTATCTGTTCATTAAAAAATATTTATTGAGCATGTACTATGTGCCACATATAATTTACCCATAAAATATTACACACCGAACTCCCCATGCAGAGCCCAGCACGCACTGCCACCACCAGTCCTTGCCCTGGGACACAGGGGTTCAATTATCTCCCACACCCACACACAGCTCTGCCAGCCGCAGCCCACAGGTGGAGCAGCTTGGGCAAGGACCTCAGAAACATCACTGACCCAACATGTAGACGTCACAGTCACAGGCGCACAGGCTGAAATGTGTGTCTGAGGAATCTACGACTACTCCCAGCTGGGAACACTGGCAGGGGGGGGAGGCACCACGGGATGAACACCTATATACACAGCCTACAAGAGGAACAACACTGGGGGGCGAGCCCAGGGGCTTGTCTGTGAGGGGCCGATGTCGCCTGCTAGGTGGAAAGGGAACAGCATGGGACAGGTGCTTATGGATGTCACAGCTGGTGGCCAGGTGCCTCTTCTTCCACAAGATGCAAACCATGGCCATGACTCCCAAGCAGTGCTTAACTGTCACCTCCAGATTGGAAAGACTTTCTCTCCAGCCTGTAAAGTCAGAAAAAAAAAAAAAAATAGCTGATCAAATAGCTCATCATTTCTGCTTGATTAACACATACTACTTCCAAATAATTTAACACTGGGTGGAATGGCATCCCGAGTGCACCCTTAAATGACAAACATTTTGGCAGTGAATAGAAAATTACCACAAAGTAAAAGAGACCCATTTGATTATTTCTCTTTTCTCTCCTACATTAACTCTGTATCCAAAAACACAGCCCCAGTTTCCAGGAGCCCCTGAAACTTGAGGCCTGACACCCCAGCCAACTCTGTGAACCCTGTGTCATTCCACATGTGACACCTCCACACCTCACACACAGCTCTTCCAGGAAAATGACAAGTAGTGGCCCCAGGCAGGCGCAGGACTCCTCTGACCAGCTCTGTCACGTGAGTCTCGGACACTTACCTTCTTAAACCTTCCACCTCCAACTGTTACATGAAGGGAGACGCATGATTCAGACATTACGGAAATCTAAAAAATAGCACATCTGTCCCGTGTGAAGATTATAATGATACAAGACAGGCTGGGCCAACCATGGCAGGGTCACACATGTGTCATGGTTCTTAATAACCACCCAGAGTGGCCTCCCAGAGATCCAGCACCTACAACACATGACTCTACAGATAAAAGTCTTACTCTTTGAGATGTAGGATCGAGCGTAGATGAGACAGACCAGCTCAGAGAGACAGACATGTGCCTTCTCCACACCGGATTTCTTTGTAAAACGACGGAACCTGTGACCACGTCTCCTGTGTGGACTGGGACTGGGTCGTCCATCATAAACAAGGTCTGCTTCCAGTGTGTGGTGCTGCAAGAGAGGCGCAGTCACCTACGAGCCTCATCTGGCAGCCCAAAGAGGTCCTCTGCACGGACAGCCTGTGCCGCCCAGGAACCCAGGAACATGGAACTTAATCTCATGCTCAACAAGGCACGGCGCCACCCTCCCACAGTTGACCCTGTGATCTGAAGTCTTTATGGGATCAAAACCACAGCACAAGGGGCTGACGCCTGCCCCAGGGGCAGCACAGAAGACATTACAGAGACGGCTCGGGGTTGCAGGAGGTGAGGAAGGTTCACCTGGGTGGCCTGCTGGATGGAATCACAGGGTCAAATGACGACATTGGCTCTGTGTCCCCAGGCCAGGAGGACAGGAGTCCTCTCTGTCATTGTGTCCTTTTCTAGGCTCCTGATGCCTGGCCAAGTCACCACAGTTAATCAGTGGCACATACAACCAAACTCATTTCTGGAAGACATGTTTAATGTCTTCCAGAAAGGCAGGCAGCCAGCCAGCCACAGGCTCTGGGCCTGTCACTTTCCTTGGGTGCTGTATCTAGCTCTTCTGGTCTCACGTCAGCCCGAGTGCCAATAACAGACAGCACTCCAAACACACTGCCCTTCGGTTCCACTCACTCTTCAGATGTTCCTGTTCATTCTCTCCTCCCTGATCTGGGCCACAGGGGTGAGGGCAGAGCACACCCAACTGATGCAACCTACCACCATTACAGAAGAGTAAGAGGCTGGGTGGCATCAGGTCAAGCTCAGCATTGACCCAAGCCCGTGTGGGCTGAGGGACCAGGGGAGGTCAGGGCAAAGCCCCAAGTCTATGATGCACTTCCACACTAGGGAAACTTATCAGCAAGTGAATCTTCTGGCAGAGGATAGCCAAAGCAGAGGCAAGAGGCATCCCTTACCACTCCACATGGTGGGCCAAGGGTACCTGGAGCACGGTAAACCAGCCTGCTTCCATCCACTCCTCATCCCCCTGCCGTACCCCACCTTCTCCCCTAGTCCCTCCAATAGGGTCACTTACGGGTGCAGCGGGCCTGTGCTGAGCACCTGCTGGGGCTGGCCCTCCTCTAGGCTCTGGAAGTGCACACTGAACCAAGCTGTGAAGCCATGCAGGGTACCAGCCTTTTGAATGTCAAATCGCAGCTCACCCCGCATGGTCTGCACTCAAACATAGGATAACAAGTTGGTGCCACAGGCCAGTGCCAATCCCAATCCCAACTCTACCCTCAACCCAGCAAGCCACGTGGATCATGCAGCTAGTGACACATGGCTTGGGTTCTATCCCAAATTCCTATGCCCACACAGCAGTCACTGGACCTAACTCTAAACATGGGAAAAGTGTCAAGAATTTTGTCATTGACAGTGGCTGTAAAAAACTTGAAGAATTTGTTACTCAATTACTGTACCTCAATAAATGGAATATAGTTTGTATGGTTTTAGAATGCCAAGCACATTAAACATAATGTAAAAATAACTGAAGACAGTAAGGAGATTAAGTAGAAGTATAAAAAACTGAAAGACGCCACGTCTTGATGGCACACGCCTTTAATCCCAGCATTTGGGAGGCAGAGGCAGGAGGATCTCTGTGAGTTTGAGGCCAGCCTGGTCTACATGAGTTAGTTCCAGGACAGGCTCCAAAGCTACACAGAGAAACCCTGTCTCAAATAATCAAACCAAACCAAACCAAAACCAAACCAAAACATAAAAACCCTGAAAGACAAAACCAAAATAGAACAGGAGGAAAAAATAGTATTAAATGGAGTATAATGGTTCATTCATTGGTGTAGCAGTCTCACCCAGACCACACACACACACACACACACACACACACGCTTGTTGCATGTCTGTTATCACTGCCCCGTGTCTCATGCAGCAATTTAATGTCTGAAGCAGGTCAGCAGCTCACCTCCAGGTCGGAGATCTGTACAGTTCTCATGTCCAACTGCAATATGGTACACGGTTCAGAGAGACAGTCTTCTGGCTTCAAGATATGATTAGACTTTGGCTTCGAAAAAAACTCCTTGATTGCCAAAGACCTAGGGGTTAAGTTATAGGAAAGGCTCAAGGCATTGGCAAGGACTTAGCATTAGATACACCGTTGGTAACGTATGAGCACTAACGGCCCTGCCTGGATGATCATCCCATGCTGGCAAAGCTCATCGGCTCTCCAGCCTTGCTGAGCCTCAGCAGTCGGCCCTCAGAGCCTGCCACTCGGTGGCTCTTCCTTTTCATGTCAGATATAGGGGCCTGAGCAGGTGGAAGCCAACCATGACAAATCAGAGGATTCTCATGCAGTGTGGACACCGCGGCTCCTCAATCCACTTATCTCAAAATATTTTCTGCGGACCTCCTACTATGCAGAGACCTCAACAGATACTCTGGCTTCCAGCTATTCCCCATGCACATTGGCAGGACTGGAACCTGCCTCAACCTCAGGAAGAAAACAAACAAACAAACAAACAAACAAACAAACAAAAACCCTGTGTGTTGTAGCTAAGGAAGTGCAGCAAGAGGCAAAGAACAGGACCCACAGGTGCCAAGACCACTCCCACTGTCCCTGTGCAGTGCTCCCCCACGCAACCCTCCTCCACCTGTGCCCAGCACCCTCACTACACCTGCATCTGCACGTTGTGGTATTGGAACAGCACCTGCAGCATTTTTTAATTTATGCACAGCAGTGACTCCCTAAACAGCAAACAAGCAACTCTTTAAGATGATAGTTCCTGGTGGGAAGGAGGAAGGGAAGAAACTCCTCCAAAGGGCCAGTCAATGAGGGACATGAAGACCTGAGCCCTACTCACCAGATTTTTCTTGTTCCGGGGCAGCAATATTTAGTTACTATAGTTCCACTATGGCTGTGTTTGTTTGTTTCTCTGAGACAGAGTCTAGAAATTGCTATGTAGACCAGGCTAGTCTCTAACTAACAGAGATCAGAGTTCTGTCTGCCTCTGCCTCTGCCTCCAGGATGCTAGGACTAAAGGTGTGTGCCACCATGTCCAGCCCTCCAATACAGCTTTTATAAATCTCTATCTTCCTAAGATGGGTAAGGGGAACGCACCTTTCTCTGGGGCACTGGGTAGGTAAACATTGTTATAATCTGTTACTATAAGTTCTACTTCTGATATTCATTTTCCTGACAAACATTGGGGATAGGGCTATTTGACTCCCTAACTAGTAGCTACTAGACTCTGCCTTTCTGTTCTGGCTTCCTTGAGCAAAAGTTTAATCGATTTTAAACTACAGCAGCCATCTGGACCCCTGGGGAAAACAACTGTGTCTTCCACAGATTAATGAGACTGTCTCTGAGGAGGAGACTGGATGGCTGGCACATATCAACACCCTCATCACCTGACTGCCCACCCGGCACCTCTCCTCCTGCCAGGAGCCCACCTACACAGTGGTCAACCCCACAAATGGTCACGCACACCTACTTGAGTGCACTGAGGTCGAACTCATAGGCGTTGTCCCAGAAGAGCACCTTGCTGTGGTAGTCTTTCTCAGCACTGCAGGGCACCAAGTGTAGTGCGGCTGTGGTTGGCCAGATGACACCATCCTCCTTTAACCATGTATCCCGGGCATAAAGGATGGACTCGATCATGAACTCAAACTGCATGGGAGGAAAAAACACAAGAGTAACACTGAGGTCTCACACACCATAGCCAGATTGTGGGATTTCAGTTTTACCCCAAAACTATCCCAGCCAAGCTAGGTCTGAACCACACTTGAGAACTTGGGGTTTATTCGCATGAATATGTTACATATATATCACAGTCCAAGTTGGAATCCTATCACTTCCCACTGAACTGGGCTCCAAGGGAAGCTGACAGCCAACACAAATTCTTGCACTTGCCCCACACGGGCACTGGGAGTCACGCTGCTAGATTTTTAAAATGCCCCTCAGTGTTGCAAGGCTTGATAGAAATATCTACTGAGGACCACTCCCTCCCACCCTGGAGTTCAGGAAACCCTCCTAGTCATCTGAATGGAGTTACACACTGAGAGCGGCCTTTTGAGGCCGGCCTTCACTCAGGGGTGGGTCTTTGGGACTGTCCACAGGACCACATGCTTTGTGGTGGCTCCCTTGTATGGATTTGCCAGCATATCCATTAAACCTCTGAGGGACATTGGGTTGTTTGGAGTTTGAGTTAATTACAATCAGAACTTGTAGAGTTGTGCCTACAGGGGTTTTTGTGTGAACACAGCTTGGAATGCTCTAAGCTGACTTAGGTTATCTATTGCATCTTGGTGAACCATGGAGAAGGCAACTTTCAGAGGAACAGGTTCACTTCACCTAAGCTGCTGAATCCCTGTACCCAGAGGGGACTCAAAGGAGAATGCTCAATCAGGGCTGGCTCGGAGGCTCTTTAGCTCAGTCCAGGGCAACTTTCCCTGGTATCTGCCACTGCAGGAGGAGGGACAGGCAGGGACTCCCTGAATCATATATGGAATCAAAGCCAGGTCACTGACACATATATTTCAAAGAATCAAAGGTAAATGCAGTTTGCACACAGTCTGTCTTTTAAAAAAATCATGTTATTCAGCTAAGATTAGTTTTCAAAAATTCTAAAATATTTTTAACAGTCATATGGATTGACTGTCATAATTGTTTCTGTTTGTAATTTTTTCATTTCAACATTTTTTGTGAATATTGACTAACCTAGTCTCAAATCCTTCTGTTTCCAGCTCCCATATATTATATATTGTGATTATAAATTTAAGAGCCACACCCAGCTATCACAAACATTTTTTGAACACAGACTCCTGACCACATCTATTTCTATATGGTAATGTGTTGTAGAATATTTGTTTAAGTGTGTAAAGATATGTGGCATTTGTTTGTGTTGTGGAATATTTGTTTAACTATGCAAAGATTTGTTTAACTATGTAAGGATGTGTTGCTGTTTTACCTTGCCTGCTTAAGGCACCTGATTGGTCTAATAAAAAACTGAGCAGCCAATAGTGCGGGAGGAGGTATAGGTGGGACTTCCAGGCAGGGAGGGTAAATAGGAGGGGGAATTTAGGCTTGGGGGGAAGAAGAAAAAGAGACACCAGGGGCCAGCCAGCCAAACATGAAAGAAGCAGGAAAGTAGAACATACAGAATGAAAGAAAGGTAAAAATCCCCCAGGTAAAACCTAGGTGAATAGAAACAGATTAAATTAAAAGAGCTAGTTGGACAAGCCTAAGCTAAGGCCAAGCATTCATAATTAGTAGTAAGTCTCTGTGTCTTTATTTGGGAGCTGGCTGGCGACTCAAAGAAAATTCCAACTACAATAATCCAATTTAAAGAACTATTAAACTTCCAGGCAGTGGTGGCGCACGCCTTTAATCCCAGCACTCGGGAGGCAGAGGCAGGCGGATCTCTGTGAATTCAAGGGCAGCCTGGTCTACAAGAGCTAGGTCCAGGACAGCCTCCAAAGCCACAGAGAAACCCTGTCTCGAAAAACAAAAAACAAAAAAGAAAAGATTCTAGACACTGAGCCATTATCATTCAATAAATTAACAACCCCTCACTCCAGAAAAAAAAAATCATAGTTTTTAAAGATTCCTCAAATGGGCCCAGGTGCTGGGTCCAGGAGAAATGAGCCCCCCGCCAGCCACAGACCGCCACGGGCTAGGCATTACCAACAGGCAGGTCCCCATCCACTCGGACACCAGCACATCCACCTTCTCGGGCAGCACCACGTCTTCCACCTTCTGCTGGAACACAGTGATTGTGTCAGCAAAGCCGTTCTGCAGGACCAGCTGGCCTGTGTGCTGTGCCATCTCACTAGCTTCCACAGCATAGACCTGCAGAGGTGAGGACGCCTGTTAGCACACGTCCTGACCCCACACACAGGTCCAGGGCAGCAATGACAGGACGCTTCGCTGTGAATGGAGGCCTAAGGGATGCCAAGCCAGAGCCATACAGTGCTCTTACAGCCTAGACAGTATACCAAAAAATGCACCACTGCTGAGTCTGCTCCTGCCTGAGTCTCCTCAAGGGAATGCAAGCCCAAGTGCAGGTGGGCAGAGCCTCAGCTCTACTAGGTGGCTGCCACATATAACACCTACACCCTATAACTACAAGACAAGTATCCAGAACAACAACAGAGAGTGCGTTAGAATCTGTGGCCTGGGGACAACTGTATCTGGGGCTCATGGGAGAACTGGAGGAGAATCTGGATGCTGCCCCTGAACTGGCAGTGTCTAGCTACAGTCATCACTGCCCTGTGCACTGGCCTTTTGGTCAGCTTGTCAGGTTGTCATGAGGCCAGAACACAGCTCAGCACAAATATGCCATAAAAGGTAGGAAAAGGCCTCCATAGAGAGCCACATGCTGTACTGCAGGAGGTCAACTATGTGGCCCAGCACAGTCAGTCATATGTCACCCCCTTTCTCTATAGTGAACTAAAGGGACACCTCACAAATGTCCTACTAACAGAATGACTGTCACTCCTGCTCTGCCTTGCTCTACTTATACTGCTCATGGCCAGTACAGTATGTCACAATCTCAGCCTCAGATGGACCAGCTGCCTACTTCCTTCCCATGAGCCTAACTAAACCGCACAGCTACATAAAGGCAAAAAAGTCATCCTGAGAGTGAACCACCTGGTGGCCCACAGCTGGGCACAGATGGAAGCAGACACACTTACTGCCTTGGGTCGTGCATGGTGCGCACAGAAGAGGCTGATGATGCCAGTGCCACAGCCCACGTCCAGGATGACCTTGTCCTTCAGGGACTCCTTGTTCTGCAGGATGACATTGTGGTATTTCGTTGTGCGAGGCTGGTCAGCCAACATTTCCAGGTGAAGTTTCTAAAAACAACACACCAAGAGTCACTGCAAAAGCCTGTGCTTGAACCACAGACAGTCAGGGAGGCAGGGCATGCACCTACCCTAAAAGTATTAGCAACACACAGGCTTTAACATGGAAAGATCAAATATGCCAGATGATAAAAGTAACAGTGGATGGTGAAAGGAAGAGAAGTTTCTGGAATTGTCCTGGATCAGAACAGAACCATTTCTCAGCCTTCCCCAAGTGTACTCTTCCCCAAGTCACTCAGATGAGTGGAAAATGGATGTGTGGACCACATAGAAGGGAAGAAGAAAATATCCCCACACAATACCTCCCAAGGCTGGAAGGACTTTGCATTCTCACCAGGTAGCCATCAAGAGAAAACACTGGACATATTGTGGCAGGTGTCAGTGGGGCAACAGGGTTCCCTACCCCCAAAATCTCCTTTACTCAAGCTTAGCACTAAATTCCTAAAACTGAAGTGAGAGGGTTAACAGTGCTCGGGCCAACCCTATTACACATCGAGGCAGGAAAACATCTGATCTCGGAGAAGCACAGAAGGCCCCTTCAGGTGTTAGGAGAACCTCAGCTGCAGGCAAGGCTGAGCCACTGTGGCACATTCAAACTGTAAAACCAAGAGTGAGACAAACAGCAGGGTGAGTATAAAACCGAGACTGCTGCCTCCCAGGTGTCACCCTGACAATGCCCAAGTGGCACCAACACAGACAGTAGGTCTGGAGGGGGCCTTCAGAGTCCTCAGGGCTCCTCCTAATGACATGACCATAAAAGGAAAACAAAGCCATAGAGCTCTGTCGATCCTCCCTCAGGAAGCTGTCTGCATGGATTAAAAAGCCAAAACCCACTCTCCTGCCTACAAGCAACTCACTTTAAATATAAAGGCTGGGCTAAAAACAAAGTGATGGAGAATGTAACATCCCAAAATAAATCAGGTGGGGCTGCAGTGGCTGCAGTGACACCAGACAAGACACTTCAGGCTGAAGAATGTTCCAAGAACACAGGCGTCGACTCATCAAACGGGCATCAAATTCTAAATACTTTTGGAGACCATAACAGAACTTCAAAATGCACAAAACAACCAAAGGACACAGAAGCGGAGCAGTTGGAGATGTGGGGCCCTCCTGTCACCAGCTGGCCACGGTGGACAGGACAGTAGGCAGCGGTCATGAAGACCATCATGCAACAGTAGCAATGAACCAAGGGCACCCAAAGATGAACTTAGTAAGCAAGTATACACCATGTGACACGTGCCTTAAAACTCTGTAACACAAAACAAGACCTACACACCAGGGGAGGGGAGGTCAATATAAGAGCCATCGCTTCTTTTTTAATTACGGCCCATCTACAAGGTACCATGTTTGTCATGGAGAAAAGCACAAAATGGTAATGACTGCAAAGCCATAAATACCTAAGACTACCAGGAAAACATGAAAGATGGGAGCTTGGCCCTTACAGAGCTGTGTTGGTGGTTGGAGCTGTGAGCTGTAAAAGCATGAACAAGGACTCCACAAGAGACCCCAGAAGGCAATGTGAGATAAACTCAGCCTGGGTCCATACCTGGAGCTGGACATAGGAAACCTAAGGCAAAATGCCTTATTCCTAACAACAGAGAGATTGCACATTAGGTTGTCCATAGCGTAGCACAGAATCCCAGGTTCTAACAACAAGAGCACAAGTACACACTGCTGCTGCGGTATGTGAGGCCCAAAGCCAGGAAGTGCCTTTGTCTTTCTTTCATCATGTGCCTTTCCTGAATGGCCGAAAAGCTGTCTTGTTTTGCTTGTATGTGTGTTGTGTGTTGTGGGAGGGGAGGGGGGCCATCTGTAGTATTTTAGGTGTATGGGTGTTTTGTCTGCAGTATGTCTGTGTCTGGTACCCATGGAGGCCAGAAGAGGGTGTCAGATTCCCTGGAACTGGAATACAGATGGTTGTGAGCCACCGTGTAGATGTTGGGAATCAAACCTGGGTCCTCTAGAAGAGCAGGCAGTGCTCTTGTCTGCTTAGCCATCTCTCCGACCCATGGACTAAAAGCTTTAATCATAATCATACAACAATGATTTTAAGATTTAGTCTTGAAGCCGGGCGGTGGTGGCACATGCCTTTAATCCCAGCACTTTGGAGGCAGAGGCAGGCGGATCTCTGTGAGTTTGAGACCAGCCTGGTCTACAAGAGCTAGTTCCAGGACAGCCTCCAAAGCCACAGAGAAACCCTGTCTCAAAAACCAAAAAACAAAAAACAAAAAACAAACAAAAAAAAAGATTTAGTCTTGAAATACAGCATGTCTAGGCAAGCCCCCAGTTCAATGCGTTCTTTTACCAGTTGCCTCAGTCACAGAGTCTCTTCACAGCAGCAGAACAGTGACTAAGGCAACAGAGTAGCTCTTCCTTTTTCTGCTCAGCATCCAATCTGTAACATTCACCTTAGTAGCTAGTTTTGGTTGCTACTTGGGCCATAGGGTTACTGATCTTCACAGTGGGAATAAAAAGACTTTATTTAATATTACTGTTGGCTGAGCTATATAATTTTTCTATTTCAATTTCAAAGTGAAACAGACTTTAAACACTAGGACATTTTAAACACTGAGAGAAGGAAAGTTCAGAATTTCCTGCTCTAATAGTATTTTTAGCCAAGTCAGAAGCTGACAACTCACAGATCAATTAGGCCATCAAAAGAAGGGATTTTACACCTTTTAATGTTTTTGCTTTTAAGGAAAAGAAAAACATGAATCTCAGACATCTATGTCCACATGTAACGTTCTGCCCATACATAGGCACATCCACATAAAGCGCCATTCATGCACAGCTGTGTTCACACCATGATGACAGAGCTGAATGTTCTAGTAAGACCCTGGCACTTCTAAGTGGACAGGAAGATCTGCAGCTCTGCTCTCAACACTAGGAAGGCCCGCCAGCTCAATACAGAATTTGGAAAGCAGTACCAGAGTTCCATAGCTGTCAAAGTACTCCTCATCTTGCCAGGTGTCCTCCGGGTCATACTCCTCCACCTGCTTCCCGAGGTGGTTGGCAGGGATGTACCCACAGCAGCCGGCACGCTCACCCCACCACCAGTCAGCCGTGGTTTGTCTCAGGATGACAATTTTTTCTCCCCTCAGAAAACTGAGCTGGAAAACAATCACCGAGGCAGACAAAAGTTACAACTCGAGAGGGAATCCAGTTAATTGACATCTCACCAATAACTGGGTAATAAGTCCCCAGTGTTGGTGACCAAATCACAATGACCTCAGTGATTACTGAAAACCTACAGAAAACAATAGCAAGAAAAACTGTTGTATGGGGCCTCCATCAGAAAGAATACGATCTAACTAATATTCTTTCTTCACATGTACTTGGGGTGTGTGGTGTGTGTGTGTGTGTATGTGTGTGTGTGTGTGTGTGTATGCATGTGTACACATGGGCACACATGTACCACTGTATATGTACTAAGGCGAGAAAACTTGAGTCAGTTTTCCCTCTACCAGGCAGGCTCCACGGATCTAGCTCAGGCTGTTGGGCATTGTAGCCCGAACCTTTACCCATTGACCCACCTCACCAGCCCTTACCTAACACTTTTAAAAACAAAGGGAGGCATCTACGCGTGGCTGATTCAGTTAGGACACTCCACAGATATGCTCCTACCAGATTCAAGAACATGCAATGGTTTGATAGCCTCGCTGTCGTATGGCCAGGAGGGCTCTATACCAAGTTCTCCAAGCAGGGGGGTGCGTCTCTAATCTCCTGCAGGCATCTTAGTATCCCGCTGGGGTGGTTTGTTAGGCTAAGAAGCGAACAGTCACGCACAGACCTTGTTTAATTGTGTGAGTGTGGATTTCCCTTTGAGGTATGTTAAGATTCACAAGTCACGGGAACGTGAGTAATCACAGGTACCTGGGTCTCATCGGTGGCAGTATAGTCTGCAATGGCCACGAACTCCTCTGGCTGCAGCTGGAGCTGCAGCTGTGCCCCGTCCTGCAGGAGCTGCATCTCACAGCCATAATCCACAGGGTCTTCCTCCTACCACCCCCAAGGAGAGACACAAGCACAGCACTGTGAGCTTTGCTGCCTGGGTATGCCTTTCTCTATCTACCAAGTGACTTGAGATCATTCCAAATCAAGATTCACGTGACTAACTGTTTATTATTCAAATCATCTGAGTCACCTTCCCTAACACACTTGTGTACTGTCACCTTCCATCCACCTTTGTGTCTCTAAGACAGGATGGCGTCTACCCTAGGAGAATGTCAACAGAAGCAGCAAGAAAGGGACCTGGTCTTCAGCTTCACTAGCTCTGCCTCCTGACAGAGATATCCATTAATGATGGAGATACCATAACATGCTGGACCCCAGGGACCTCTTCAGACCTAAGGGCAATGATACTGGGCAGATACAGAAAGGGACTAAGGGAGGTGCTGGAAACTGATATAAGCCTCCATCTCATCAACAAACGCCAGCAGCCCAGCTAGGACCCATGCTCTGTCCTGTACCCTATGGCCATCTTCTACCAGAACAAACATGCCTTAAAGACACAGACTGGGGCTGGAGAGATGGTGCGGCACTTAAGGGCACTGGCTTCTCTTCCAGAAGTCCTGAATTCAATCTCAGCACCCACATGGAGGCTCACACCATCTGTAACAGTAGTCCCATGGGATCTGATGCCCTCTTCTGGTGTGCACACAAAATACCAATATACAGAAACAAATAAACATAGAGAGAGACTGAAGGTGACAGGTTCTCAAACATTCTAGCCTAATGATGTAACCTTGTCCCAATATGTATACCCTAACCCTAAACAAAGGAGTAATTTACTTAAGCAAACACAGAATAGAAGGCATCTTGTAACCTCATTCCAGGTAAGAGATAACAATGAACACACCGGTATTTTTCCTCCCTGACTCAGAAGCACAAATCACCATGTCCCACAAGGAACATGCTGAAATCACATACTACTGAGACCACCCACAGTGTTTCCTATTGAAGCAGCCCTGGAAAATGGGAAATTAGGGAGACTAGGGAAGGAAAAGAAGCCCACTCCAAAATCTGGCTGAATGTCAGAAACTTCAATACAGGGCTGGAGAGACAGCTCAGTGGCTAAGAGCATCGGCTGTTCTTCCAGAGGATCCAAATTCAATTCCCAGCACCCACATGGCAGCTCACAACCATCTGTAACTCCAGGCCCAGGAGATCTGAGACCTTCTAGCCTCTGTAGACACTGCATGTATGTGGTACACACACAATACATGTAGGTAAAACACCCATATACATGAAATAAAAATAAATTTTAAAAAGACAAGTAACTTCAACACACCGGGTGTTGGTGGTGCACACCTTTAATCCCAGCACTCGGGAGGCAGACGCAGGGGGATCTCTGTGAGTTTGAGGCCAGCCTGAAAAAAAAAAAAAAAAAAAGAGAAACCCTATCTCTAAAAACCAAAAAAAAAAAAAAAAAAAAAGTAACTTCAACACAACCAACAAAATCAAAACTACCTAACAGATGAAAAGACATATTTATTTTCCCAAAGACTCCTTAAACAATGATATTGCTTAGGGCCTGCATGCTCATGGCCTCTAAGTTTAACCATATTAGCACACTTCTGTCAACCCTAACTGTAAACAGTGTGTCTCATAAAAGCCACCTATGTTTCCAGTCACAAACTCCTTAAACTTTAAACTTCCTCATAAATTACACCCTTTAGACAAAGTGACTTCAAAAGCCCAGGGGATCACATGTCCCTCTCTCAAAATATATTACTTTATCTAAAGCATGCACTTCCCCTGGTGTGTGTTCAGTAAACTCACTAACCTTGCTTCACTCTGACTCAACCTGAAATTCTTTTCTGCACCAGTCAAGGATCTAGCTTTACTTGTATGGATGTACGTAGTGGAGAACAAAACCATCCCATTTCTGCTGTGTAATACTCCAATCCATGAATTATCACAACTTACTTATCCAATCGCCTACATTTGAATATGCAGACTACTTTCAGTTTCTTCTACTATCAATTATTAATTTTCTTAAACACAAATCATCCTGCATGTACCTGAGAAATTCCTTAGGATAAATTCCAGAGCTGTAAAACTCGTCAAGACCATCACTTTTTCTTTGTTGTCTGGGTTTTTTTTTTTTTTCATTTGTTTATTGTTATTTTGAGACAGGGACTCACTATATAGACCAGGCTGACCTCAAGTGTCTGCCTTTGCCTCCAATGTGCCAAGATTAGAGGTGTGGACCAGCACAACCTGCCAAAGACTTTCACTTCTATGGCTTTCATATTACCAAATGCCACTGGGACTGTACCAAGACTCGGTGACACTTGCTCCACTGTGCATAGACATAAGGACCCATTTCATTAACAACAGACACTGATCACGATCTCTGCTAATTGGATGAGTGACAATTACCATTTTGCATTTCCACTCACCTACCTTAGTATGGCCATTCATGGTTCTCTATGCATTTATCGGGCCCATCTTAATTTTGCTGATTGCCCAGTTGTTCTCCTTGCATTTCCCATATTGCAGTACCATGGCTTGCTTTAGTATTGTATGTTTTCCACTGGCTTGCCCTCCACCCACCATATCACTCTTTCTAATAATCCCTATTAAATAACCCTTGGGACCTGCTCCAGGCTCAGTGATGAGTGCGTGGGACCCTTCCTCTTCCCGTCTTCCCCCCCCCCCCCCCCCCCCCCCCCTCCTCCCTTTCTCTCTCCCTCCCTCCTCCCTCTCTCTTCTCTTTCTCTCTCCCTCCCCTTCTCTCTCTCCCATCCCCTCCCTCTCTTCTCTTTCTCACTCTCCCCCTCCTTCCCTCTCTCCCATCTCCTCCCTCTCTCTTCTCTTTCTCACTCTCCCTCCCTCCTTCCCTCGCTCTCATTTCTTTCTCTAAGTAGACTTTTTCCTTTAACATAGCTTTCCTGTGAATAATACCTTACACCACCCCCCTTTTTGCAGTTTACTTTTCTTATACAATATCTTGAACAAAACTCTAACGTTTTCATAAAATCCTGAATTCTAATGGACTCTTCAATCATTCTCTGATTTTTTTTTTATCTTGGTATCATTTTATACCATCATAAAAAAAATACTACAAAAAGTTTGTGCGTATGTGTGTCCTTATACAAAGACTTTATTCCTGAGGACACACTGCCAGGCTCCATGGGTAAAGCTTTTTCAAAGATGTCATACTCTTCCAACTTTGCCAGCAATGGGGTAGCTCTGTCTCAACACTTGGCAACAACAGCCATCCCACCAATGTTTAGACTTGTGCCAGAGATTGGCATAAAGGAAGTCTTAGCTATTTTTTTCAATTCTTTCACCATCAGGTTCTCCGAGCTTTTGTTTTCTGGGTTTTGTTTATATATTCTGACTGTTGCTTAAGTCTGCTCTTCTATAAAAGACATAGTTACTTATTCTATCCTTTATTTTGTTTCCCTACCAAACCTCTATGAGAATGAAAGAACTCTTTGTATAACACAGATCTCTGAGATCTTGAGCAAATGTTTTTCTAAATAGATTTTTTTTCTTCTACTTATTTTATTTAGAATTTGAAACTCAAAGTCAGGTCAAGAACAAGAGAAATGGCTCAGAGAGCAAGATCTCTTGTGTAAACATAAAGATCTGAGTTTGGAAACCAATAAACACATAAAAACTCAGGTAAGGTTGAAGGCACCTGTAACCGCAGCACCCCAGGGAGAGAAGGGAGCAGATCCCTGCAGCACTGGCTGCCAACTTCGCCCCCAGTTCAGTGAGAGACCTTGTCTTAAAGGAACAAGGCAGAGGACTATAGAGCAGCAAACCCAGCAGAATGGGCAGAAAACAAGGAAACACAGTCCTCAATGGAAAAGAATATAAACTATCTTCAAAAATGAAGGTGAGAGCTAGGTATTGTAATGGATAAGTTTAATCCCAGCACTAGGGAGGCAGAGGCAGGTGGATCTATGTAAATTCAAAGTCAGTCTGGTCTATATAGTGAGTTCCAAGCCAGGCTACAATATGAGTCCCTGTGTCAAAGAAACTAAAGCAAAACATACTTTTATTCAAAGCAAGGTGGCCATAACATATCACAATAAACTCATGCTGCTAACCACAAAAACAGGGTGTTGAAGCTGAAGGGAATGAGCCTACATGGAAACTAAGAATACAAGAAACCACTTTTCACACTTCATTAGAAACCTTTTCTCAGTGGAAAGCCATAAGTGTTAATCTCTTCTGGGGTTCACAACATATGTAAATTACTGTATGTTACCCTGGACTGGGAACTGGAAAATAAAACTAATGAGTAAGATTTTTATACTGTGAAATAGAAAGTCTAAAATAGGTTAAGAATGTACAGGGCAACTCTCTGGAGAACAACTAAGTCAATATTTAAAAGGTTAGCAAACTGATAAATGCAATACATAAAGTTATACCAATTTTCTTATTAACCAAAAACTGGGCAAATATATAAACAAGAACTGTAACACACAGAAAACAAGCAGCAATGTTAAAATTAATTGTATCACTCATTATATTCAACGTAAATGAACTAATATACTCCATAACAAGGCAGACACTAACAACAAAGACCCCACCATCAACATAAAAATGCCAGGCACAGTGGTGTGTACACGAAATCCCAGTGCTCAGGACACAGGAGGATTCCTGGACTTCTGTGGCCAAGCAGGTCTGGTATAACCGTGTGCTCTGGGCCAATGAGAGACCTTGCATCAAAGGGGTTAGCTGGTATACCTGAGGATAATACCCAAGTTTGTCCATCTGGCCTCCACAAATATACACATATGTGTGTACACACACACACACACACACACACACACACACATATATGCTCATAAAAAAGATTCATGATCAAAAATCATTTGACCGGCCAGGCAGTGGTGGCGCACGCCTTTTTAATCCCAGCACTCAGGAGGCAGAGGCAGGTGGATCTCTGTGAGTTCAAGACCAGCCTGGTCTACAAGAGCTAGCTCCAGGACAGCCTCCAAAGCCACAGAGAAAGCTAAATGCAATCAAGCCAAAACTTAGTGGTAAAACCCCTCCCAAATGTGGGGTCAGCAAGATGGCACAGCAGATAAAGGCACTTCCCACACAAGTCAGACAACCTGAGTTCAATCCCTAGATCCTATGAAGGGGTAGAAAGAATAAACTTCTTGAAAGCTGTTCTCTGACCTTCACATAAATGCCGTGATATTTGTGTACCCAAACATGCACATGCATGCACACAAATCAGTAACAATAATAAAGATAAAAAAATTCTCTAATATTTAGAAATCAAGATACTTCCAACGGTCCAGAAACCTTCTGATTTCCATTGTGATGCATCAAAAATATTTGACAACAATGAAGACACAGAACATCTAAACGGAGGAGTTTCAGATAAAGGAACTTTTCAAGGAAAAGTTCATCTTTAAAGCTCAAGTTAAAAAAGAAATATTTAAAGTTAGTGACACAGACTTCCACCTCAAGATGTCACAAAATGAGAAGACTGGATCCTAAAAGAGTAAGAAAATACAGATAAAAGCAGAAATCAATAAAAAATAAAAGAGAAAGTCAACAACAACAACAACAAAAAAAAAACCCTGATTCTTTAACAAGATAAAACTGATTAGCCCTGATTTGCCGAAAAAAAAGAAAACACAAATTCCTAGGATTAGCACCTCTTCTCTAGTGGGCAGTATTAACAGGATTTCTGCCACACCCCCACTAAGACTCCCGAGTCACTTAGAAGTCAACTAAAAGTCAATAAGAAGAAATCATTTCTAACCCATCCAACTGACCACAATTAAAGTATCGTCTATGACACCATCAGGGGCTATACTGAAGATCTGTGTACTTGTGACGTTGCCTGGAAACTCAAAGTATGTGGTCCTCCACCCTCAAAGCTCCACAGTGCTATCGCTGGGAATCTAATCTGGAGCACCAGATATGGCAACAGGTACTCACTGCAGCACCATGGGGAGGCAGGGTGTGACTACATCTGAGTACCCAACAAAAGGGAGACAGGGAGATGTAAACCCACTGCATAGCCATGGGACCACAGCAGACCAACACAAAACTGGGATATACAGACAGAGCACGTGCCCAGGAGGCCCAGCAGTGGCAGGGCCAAAGTGATGTCACATAGCTGCAGAAACAGCAATACCACCTACACAAGCCTCAGAAAAAACACAGAGCAACTCGGACTTTGTTCAGGGATCCTTCGTTTTGTTTGATTGACACAGTTCCTCGGTGCTTATTTCTGGCTGGCTTGAGGACCCTTATACGTTCATAAAGGTACCTAAGGTGCAGAAGCCTGCCTGAAGTGGTTGTCTGCCTCCAGACGAGGAAGGAATGGGTCTGGGTTTGAAAACAGACTAGAGTGTTAATTTTATTTGTGTGTGTGCCCTGAGGCAGCTACAACGAAACGTTTTCATCTCTGCACAACATATGCTCAATGTCTACAACATTATCTTGTAATTGTCAATATTTACATTTACCAAAAGAAAAACTGGGCATTCATAGAATTAAAACATTTTGACGCTGAACATGGAAAATGATTAACAAATTAAGCCAACTATAAATAAAATTCCTACACATAAAAATACCCAATACATACATACCCAGCAGCTGGGCATGGAGGCACTTTTAATTGCAGCATTCAGGAGCCACAGAATGACATAACCCCGTGAGTTAAGACCAACCAGGGATACACAGTAAGACCTGTGTATCCTGTGTCTCAATAAGTAATTAAATAAATTAAAACCCAAGCAATGGAAAATCATTAGGATAGAAGAAAATGCTGAAGCTCACACCACAGACATGAAAATCTTTGATTTTTAAAAGTGTTTTTATTTGAATACTCATTTTGTTAATTGTACATTATCAATATTCCTTAAAAGTGAAGGGGACCTTTTCTCTGGTAACAGGAATCAAACTGATATGCACCCAAGGCAGAAAACAGCATGCAAAACACGGAACTTCTGGAGTACCAAGCATTTTCCAGGCCCTATGCCTAACACCGACTAAACACAAGTTTACACTGGAGGACTGTGGTGTCTGAAGCATTCTAAAGAGTTCCCTGAAGGATTTGTAACACCACGCAGCATGGCACCTATGAATTAGGCTCATATCCACCACCCCCCACCCAGTGTTGTTTAAATTCAAGCATCCTCCTGTTGACTACCTTGAGAGACAAGGAAAACTGCCTCACACCTGTGACTTGTTTTTCGTTACACATGGCTCTTACGTACCAGCACTGGGATGACCTGTGACTCATTTCCGGGACAGTCACCTGGTGTCTCCATAGTTCAGTAAGATTCTGCCTCATAACTGCTTCTTTGTTATTTCATTTTCCCTTTCATTTCTACTTGGAAAAAAAGAGAGAAAGAAACACAAAGTGCTTGTTATACTTGAAAATTAAATTCACTTCAGCTCTACGGTTCACTGCATGTGAAAGAATGGCACAGAAATGGACTTTACCACCACAATTCTTGAGATCAGTGCTTCTCAACCTTCCTAACGCTTCAACCCTTTAATACAGTTCCTCATGTTGTGGTAACCCCCAACCATAAAATTATTTCGTGTCTGCTCACAACTGTAATTTTGCTACTGCTATGAATCATGATGTAAATATCTGATCTTCAACCCCCAGACTGAGAACCGCTGTTTTAGAGGGTTTTAAACAGCAAAAACTTCAAATACTGTGTGCTTCCTTCCTTAGTCTGCTAAGTATTAATTTTATTCCCTGCGAGCCTGTTTTTACTTACAATAAATCACTATCATTTTGTTCTTAGGAACTCCTAACAGCTTAAACTAGAATTTAAACCCCTTGCCTAGTGCTTGACCTGTTCGTTCCAGTGGCAGAATTGGAGTCTGCATGCCCGGGGACACCCTCCTACTCTTTAATTCTCTTTCTTCAGGGGCAGTGCAATTTTACTGGCTCTGGGATTAACTTCAATTAAAGCAATTCTTTGTTGAAATGCCTGCTGCTGTGCTTCTAGGTCTGGACTTCATACTTCGTAATAATTAGAATTACAAATACTTATTACATCTTCGGTGAAAAGCTTGGGAACAGGATAAGGCTGGTGCCCGGGAGGAGGAGGACAATGAATTCTTTGGGAGGGTCGGCCAGGCCAAGTGGGGGGTGAGGCAAGAGGCTTAAAGAGGGGGGCGTGGCTCCGGGAGCCAGCGGCGAGGGGCTGGGGAAGTGAGTGAGGGGCGCCGCGAAAGGAGCGGGGAGAGGGCGGGCGCTGCTGAGAAAGGGTGAGGCGGGACTAGAACCTTCGGGAGGGGCGGAGACACACACCTTCTGCCTAGCATGTGCGGCCTCACCTGCGGCCCAGCTGCCAAAGCCGCCCATTAAGAAACCTACCTCGGCCGCGTTTCTCCGCCGAACGCCAGGCTGGCGACACCGAGGAGGAAGGGATGACGCCCATCCGAAGCCTCAGCCGCCGCCCCAGACCTGCGCAAGCGCGGAACGCTCGGGCTCGCCCAGGCCTCGGTGTCCCGCGCAGGCGCGGTCCGTCTGAACCCGGTGTGCTGCAGGTCAGAGTCCTGTCTGAGTGCCGGCCGCTCGGCGCAGGCGCACTTTGTGTCCCTGCGTCTAGTCCGCGTCCGGCTTCAAGCCCGCAGCGGGGAGCCGTGCAAGCAACGGCTCACCGGGAGGAACGGTGCGAAGGAAGGCTGGACTTGGGGTGGGAGGCCACAGGTGGTGTAGACCGTGCCCCCAGCGGATTCCAACTGCGTGCAGGCCGCCGCCGCAGAAGTGCCCGGCAGCGCCGTCCCGAGCACTCTTGGGGCTGCTGGTGTGTTTGGAGCCCTCTGCCTGTCCAATAACCTGGTTTGCGTCCGGATCAGCGTCTGCAGAATGGGGCCTCGCACAGCATCTGAACCAACTTTAGCCTGAGGCCTGAGGTGGTACCAGCACAGCTCCCAAGTGAGGCACAAGACACATCAGAACCCCCCAGGTCCTGAAGATCCTGTACTCAGAGGGCCACTGGTACCGGTTGACAGAGCAGGGTCCTTTTCACTGGCAACCCCTTTCTATGCAAGAAATTTCCGTGTGACACTAGGTGTCTAAAGTAGGCATAGGAAAGGAACATTCACTGGTAATAAATCAGAAAAGAATTTATTTTAAAACACTTGATTTTGCCATTTATTAGAGACAAAAGCAGATTTGCACACTAATTAGTTGGATGTGTTTGTCCACTGTAATCCAGATACTTTGATGTGATAGTGCCGAGGGATGATGGGAAAATATTAAAATTCTTTGTTTTCCGAAATTAAGCCATTATGGTGAAAGAAAACAAAAAACACTGCAGCTCTTAACATAATGGCTTCAAACCCGCTATGAGGCACCTCGGGCAGCCTTCAGTGATCTGCATGGCAAATGGAGAGTAAACTGTACCTGTTGTGCGTTCAAAACCAAAGCTGAGGTGGAGCTCCGCAACGCACCATGGGTGATGGCTGAGAGAGACACTTTGGAGTCGTTACACTTTTGAGTTTGAATTATTTTGGCCATTGTTAGTTTGGAAGCCTTTTACCGTTGCCCGGTTTTTGTGACTCCAACATTAAGTTACAGAACAGAGCTGTGTACCACAGTTTAAGAAGTTTTCAGTTAGAACCTCGTGGTGTGAACGGGAAGCCCCTAAAGGAGGCCAAGTTCTGGCTGATTCTAGGGTGGAGTGGGTAAGATTGAGCCTAAACTTCGGTGAGATCACAGCCTTTGCCAAGGAGGTGAATCTGAAAAGGTTTGGTTTTTCCACCATGTTTACCATGAAAAATCATTAACGTAAGAGTTGCCACTAAAGGTGGCCTGGTGGCTAACCAACTAAACTCAGCATGGTTTCTGGAGCTTAGTTAGGAGAGCTCATAAAACGTCTACCTGGTCTTCTGCAGGTACATCACATATGGGGCAGCTCCATGTACAGTGTCCCACGATGCTGGGACCACAATTCCAGCCTTCTGTATACTTCAGACCAACTCAAGTCCCAACTTAAGTACCAGTGACCTCAGTTGACACTGAGTGGAAGAAAGAGCAATGCAACCCAAATCCTAACTCCCTGAATTCAGGAGGTTTAATAAAATGTGATAAGAGTGTTTTTCTCTTTCTCTTTATTCATGCATACATTTTGGAGTAGCTTGCAGCAACAGCAACTGTTATGTTAATGTATGCTTCCTAAGCATGCAGAACTGGGCGGTGTAAGTCACCGGATGACAGAGTTCTGGAAAATTCTTAAGGTCTTTAATCATTCCTAAGAGCTATGAATAAAACTACATGAAACTTACTAAATGGAAGATTTGACTGTTATTTATGAGGGCTCTGACAAAATTTCAGTGATTCAAATTGCCATGCAAAAGTCATCCTATTAATTTGTAGTAATGTTCTTGCAAAGGTAGGGATTGAAGATTCAAACACAGGTCCAATGTTTTAGTGATGTGGTATTAGTTTATCTGGCTTGCGGTTCTGGAGGTGAAGGGCTATGTGGAGCAGCCTTCCCGCTGTGTCTCAACAGCAGGAGAGAAAGCGGAATTCACTTTCATAACCAACACAGTGTGGCAACACAAACACATCAGTGATGAGGCCTTTAGTCCTTTCAGAGGAGAGAGCCTCCTAGGATAGCCACTACTCCAAGTCCACCAGGGCACACACCATCTTTTCTCTTTTGGCCATTATCATTCTTACAAGACTTGCTTTAAATATAGATGGTGGTAAGGGCTGTGAACGTAGTTCATTTGGTAGAGTGTTCACCTAGCATACACAAAACCCTAGTTTGATTCCCCCAGCAAATGCATAAAACTAGGTGTATGGTGGCATATGCCTTAATTCAGAGAGTAGACAGATTCAAAAGAATTAAAAGTTGAAGGGCATCTTGGCTACATAAGACCCTGCTTAAAAATTAAGTAAATAAGTAAATGCAGAAAGCAGTTCAACAACTATACATACATACACATAGTTTACAAAAAGGACTATCATCAAAAAGTTACAGCTTTAAAAAAAGTCAGACGTGATTGTTTATGGTTTTAAGGCCAGCACTCAGGAAGCAGAGGAAGGTGGAGGATCTCTGAGTTTGAGGCCAGCCTGGTCTACATAGTGAGTTCCAGGACAGCCAGTTAGATGTAGGGAAATCCTGTCTCAAAAACAAACACAGTTTTTGTATTGTGCTACTGGAAACTGGACCTAGGGTCACAGACAGGCTGCAAAATGGCTGAGTCCTGACAAGATTTTGTGTGAACTTGACACAGCACACAAGAGTCATCATCTGGAAAGGGGACCATCAGTTGAGAAAATTCTTCCTTCCATCAGATTGCCTACTGGCAAGTCTGTAGGCATTTTCTTGATTGGTGATTGATGTGGGAGGAACCAGATCACTGTGGGCACTGCCACTCTTGGGCAGGTAGTCCTGAGTTCTAGAAAAATATAAGAGTCAGAAGATTAGGGAGTTTTCTGTGAGACTGTGCCTCCTAGGAATGTCAGAAGCTACATCATAAAGTCTCACTAATATGGCGGCCCAAACATGAGCTGAGCAATGAAGAAACCAATGGACAAGCCATAGAGGATGGGGAAAAGTCCAGGGTACCACAACCCTAAAGAACTATAGGCAACTAAGGAGAGCTGGGAGTGGGTGAGGTGGCCTTCCCCATAGAAGAGCACACAAATTGGCTGTCTAGAGCCAAATGATCAGCCCTGAAAATATACAAGTAACATTATAGGGACTGGGTAAGTTATATTTAGAATATACATGTATATACATACATGTAAGCAATAATAATTAGTGAAAGAAAGAGGCTATGAATTTTTTTAATGACCAAACTAGTTTTTTTAAAAATCAGTTTACAAAAGCACAGAAGCAAATGTAGTTATCTTTCTCACTAGAAAGAAATGTCCGTAAGTGAAAAAAGATCACTTTCCATGTTAAAAAATGTTAAGCAAAATTGCACTTAATATCTTTATAGACCGTTAAATAGTTCAAATACACTGAAGAAAAGAAGGAAGAGCAAAGGCTCTTATTTCTGAGATGGGAAGGGCATGTGGGAGAGTTTGGAAGGAGGAGAGGGAAGGGAGAAATGTAATTATGCCGTAATCTCAAAAGTAAAAGGGGAAATGAGCTACAGAATCGGACCTGAAAAGAATCTGTAGTGTTTGGTTAGCAGGAGTTGAAGAAGTCAGCTGGGATCAACAAGAGACCAGAACCACTACAGGCACAATTGATGCTGGTCAGCTGGAGTTGAGAAATTAGCAATAATTAAGAGACCAGCATCATTAAAGTGAAATCTTCTGGTGGTATTTCCTCAGGGTCCACAGTGGTCCAGAGTGGGTAAGACTGCATCTCCTCTTGCTGGTGGCAGAACTTGGTAATGTATAAGAGTCACTCAGGTGGTGCTGGTTTTGAAGGCATGAAGGGATCGTGGAAAGCAGCTGAGGCTTGGCATTCTCTTCTGGTCCTGAAGGGAGGCCAGGAACGATCAACGGTAAGGGTGCAGCCTCAGTTGCCGGGGACCCTAGCATGTTGGAGACACCAGTACCATGGGATGACCACCTGGAACAGCAGTAGTTGTAGAGTGGAAACTAGCCTGAGCCTATGAGATGATGTGTATGCTGTGGAGGGCAGAGCTGGGGAAGCAGGGTTGCCCCAGGTCCTTTGGAGCCTAGATGTGAGTAGGTCCCAGACACCAAGCACTGAATTTTTTATACTGTTGAGTTTTGGTTTTGCTTTGATTTAATTGTGACTGCACCCTGGTTCTTCCTTCTTGAAGGAAGGAAATATTTAACTTGTCCTTTATTTTACAGAAGTCCAGAGTTAAGAGACTTCAGACTTTTAAAAAGACATTGGGTTTTTAAAGAGAACTTGGACTTTTAAAAGCGTTGAAAAAACGTTTAAACTTTTAAAGTTGTGTTTTATATTGTGATATTAATATGAGATTGTGGGGATAAACAAAGAAGGAAGGGTTTTGGTTTGACAGTAATAAGTTGGTGTGTCCTGGTGAGATTTTTCTGACACACAACAGTCACCCTCAATTGAGAAAAATGCCTCCATCAGCTTGACTGTGTGTAAGTCATTAATTTAAAAAAATATCATTATTTAGCCTGGCGTTGGTGGTGCAGGCCTTTAATCCCAGCACTCAGGAGGCAGAGGCAGGCAGATCTCTGTGAGTGCCAGGATAGGCTCCAAAGCTACATAGAGAAACCCTGTCTTAAAAAAAAAAAATCATTATTCTTATACGTGTGGCTGTTTTGCCCGCATGTATGTCAGTGTACCACATGGATGAAATGCCTGCAGAGGTCAGAAGGGAGTGTCATATCTCAGCCACCGTGGGGTACTGCAAATCAAACTCGGATCTTCCAGAAGAGCAGCCAATGTTCTTAACCACCCTGGAGTATTTTATTAATGACTGATGTGGAAGGGCCCACCTTGCCCCTGGGCTGATGGTCCTAAGTTGTATAAGAAAGCCGGTTGAGCAGCCGGGCCTTCGTGGTGCACGCCTTTAATCCCAGCACTCGGGAGGCAGAGGCAGGTGGATCTCTGTGAGTTTGAGGCCAGCCTGGTCTCCAGAGCAAGTGCCAGGATAGGCTCCAAAGCTGCACAGAGAAACCCTGTCTCGAAAAACCAAAAAAAAAAAAAAATCAAGAAAGAAAGAAAAAAGTATTCTTCCATGGCTTCTGTTTCAGGCCCTGCCTCTAGGTTCTTGCCTTGAGTTCCTGCCCTCGGTGATGAACCGCTACCTGGAAGTAAGATGAGATAAACGATTTCTTCCCCAAGTTGCTTTTGGTCATGGCGTTTATAACAGGAATAGAAATGTAACTGGGACACACTATTAGCTGTATCTCTGCCCTGTTGTTGTTGTTGTTCTGTGTTCATGTGTGTGCTCATGAATATAGAATTCAGTAGACAATCTTAGGTGTGTTCACCTTTTTTTTTTTTCCCCCTTTGAGTCAGGGTTTCTCATTGGCCAGGAATTTGCCAAATAGGCTAGGCACTCCAGCACATTCTCTATTTTATTTGGAAATAGGCTCTTTGTTATTTGACCAGACTAGCCTTGATTTCATGATCCTCCTGCCTCAGATCCCCAAGTAGCTGGGATTACAAGCCTGTGCCTAAAGACCCAGCATAAAAATCATTTCTGGGGGACTGGAGAGATGGCTCAGAGGTTAAGAGCACTGACTGGTCTTCCAGAGGTCCTGAGTTCAATTCCCAGCAACCACATGGTGGCTCACAAGCATCCTTTATGAGACCTGGTGCCCTCTTCTGGTGTGGAGATATACATGGAAGCAGAATGTTGTATACATAATAAATAAATAAAATCTTTAAAAAAAATCATTTCTGTTCCTCTAACGAGTGGACCATTTCCTGAATGGCAGTGTGGAGAGGCAGCACCAAACCACAGCTGGAACTTGGACTCTACAGAAGTCCCAAGCTCACACCTTAGCTTCGACACTTACAGATGACACAAATAAGCAATCTGCCTCTGAAGCTCAAGTTACCTCCCAACAACAAAGAGATGTTTCTGCCTCTGAACCCCAAGTTCCCTCATGACAATGCAGAGATGCTCCCCTCCACCCCCACCCCGCCAGGCAGGTCAAACCTAAGAATGATGGACCTTCTTCCCCTGGCCAGGAAACTTCACGTTTCCTTTGATATGTTGTACTGTGGATGCTTTGTAGCTCTGGGGATACTCCCTCTTCACCAAGCACTCAAAGCTCCCAGAGGCAGCTTCAAGCCCTGGGACATGCATAACAGTCACCATTTCTACTTTTCTGACTTAGAGCTCTTGATCAGCTCTGCTGCCAATGGAGCAGTCAGGCCTGCTTGCAGACCACATGGTCCCTGCAGGAGTTCCTGCATGGGGGGGCGGGGCAACAGGTAGTCATCATGCTAGGTACAGAACACTGGTGAATATACGCCGTTATGCCAGAGACTGGGGGGTCACTGTCACTTATGTTGCAAAGTCTGCCTTGAAAGACATCCAACCCCTTACTAGGTTCAGTGGCCTGACCTGCACTGCCTAGTGACAGGACAGATACACACACACACACACACACACACACACACACACACACACACACCCCACCTGTGAGCCAGCACACCTTCTGCAAGTGAAGCTATTGATACAAGGGCTAATCAAGCATGTGAACTTTGTTGTTGTTAGGGCAGCAGGCGGCCTCTCTCTGGGAGTCAACAGGCATCTGACTCTGATCCCTAAAGGCTTCATTTTATGTTTTAAAAGCTCTGGTTACATAAGTACTGTCTTTGACTTTCTTTGTGTGCTATGGCCCATCTGGAGGAAGCCCTGCACAGACAGGAAGCAGGTGGGAAGTACTGGAAGCAGAGCCTCAGGCCCTCCAATGGGGAACAGCCAAGGCCATGCCAGGAACTATTCATAGGCTGAATTCAAAAACTTGTTGCAAAAATCCTGCTTAAGAAATCTTGAAGAAGGCTTCCAACAGGTAAAGATTACATTAGTTAAATGAGTGACTTAAAATTATTACATGAATATAATCAAAATACATAATGGGCATTAGGAAATGTCACAATGAAGCCCACTGCATGTAATTAATATATGCTAATACAGGTTCTAAAATATTACTTAAGACACATTCAGAAGGAGGATAATAGTTTTAAATGCTATGCATGTTAACACATCACAAAGTATTTCAACTTACCCAATTTTATTCCTTTACATTTTATTTTACCTTATGTTTTGGAGACAGGGTCTCACTAAGTAGCTCTGGCTGGCCTAGAACTCAATTTATAGACCAAGCTGAACTGGAACTCATAGACATCTGCCTGCCTCTGACTCCCAAGTGCTGGGATTAAAAGTGTATACCACCACATCCAGCTGGCTACTTTAAATTTTAATTTCAAAAAATAGTTTATCCTTCTTATAACTTGAGTATTTTCTCATTTTTTGTTTCTATTAACACTCAATTGCACTTTCAGATTCTAATTATTCCGTATTTAAACCTCTAAAATAAGTTAAGTTATTCCCACTTCCGAGCCATTCTTATTGGAGCTATGCCAAGATTAATTTCAGTTTTCATAGATCTAGCAATCAATTGTTCACTTGGAAGGATGTGGCTGGGCCCATAGCACCCTTAAAAATAAATGGACAAAGCCACAACACTGTGTGAAGAATAATGTTTCTTACTAAGTTAAAAAAAAAAAAAAAGATAGATGAGCCTGAGTTTTCTCAACCTTAAACTTGCCATGATTTGATGGTCCAGCCAGATTCTTTAAAAATAGAATTAAAATAAATGCTTGCACGAGAGTTCCACAAAGGCAGAGTGCAGTTTTCCTTATATCATTTCCAGCATTAGTTGAAATATTTCTCTTACATTTTGAGAAACTTTGGGAGTACCAAGTACCAATGACAGCGCGATCTTTCACAAAGTAGCTTCATGGGGAGGCACCTCACACTCCCACCTCCAGCTTCCCCCAAACTTAGACGGTTTAAACACAAGCACAAAAACAATAGTCCTGTTGTTTTTGCACTGGGCCCTTTTGTTTCCCTGGCTCTGTGGATCTAGAGCAAAGAAATAGCAGGGCCCTGCTTTCTGCTCCAAGCTCCTCACTGGGCTCATTCTTCTGGAAGGTTTTACTGACTTCTGAATGAAAACAAATATTTGGATGGAATTTGGTGTGGTACAAAAATAATAAAATGTGATACATGTGAAAAAGTTGCATTCTACAACAATTTGCCAAACAGGGGGATTCCTGGACTCAAGACACTCAAATTGGGCCAATGATTTGGCCTGCATGATGGATCCTAGTGTCTCTGGCACAGAAAGAGCCTTTATTTGTAGCTGTTTGCTTTCTCCTACTGAGTTGTTTGCTTGGTTCTGGAACCAAGTCCCAGGTTCCCCTGATAGACATGAACAGTAACTTTTGTAATATTAATGACCATCAACTGAGTATACCAGGTTCTTCCTGTTACATGTATGTTTGTGCCACTACACGTGTGTGTAAAGTCATGTACTACTCAGACAAACCCAAGTGGTGGCATGAGAAATGTGAGCCTGGCTAGGAGATGCTGTGGCTCCCAGGCTGGGCAGTGGCATCCTGCAGCGTAAGAAAGCAGTTGGTTCTTGTGTTGACTGCTCGGCACACAGGAGCTTTTGTCTTTTCACCCACTTCCTCCAGAACACAGACCCTCATTCTCCTCCATGGTCACTGGGCATTGTAACTAGCCTCCTGAGCAGCTCGGTGGTGGGGCCTTTGTGTGAGAAACAATGCTGCCTTTCCCCCTGCAAATACCAAGCAAGGGCAACCTCTTCCTCCAACTAATCAGAGCCAGTGGCTCACTGAATGTGTAGGAGGTGGGGACAGAAGGGAGGGGGCTCCCAGGAACTGGAAATGATGACGGCAAAGGTGGTAGAGGCTCTGAATAGCCAAAGAAAGCTGCCTACTGACCCAAGTCAATCACCTTGACTTGGATAGAAAAATGCTGACCCAGCAGAAGAAGTCCCTTTTCCAACATGACAGTCTTGGATCTTGTAGTCTGGGTGCCTGACAGCCAATTCCCCCCATTCCTTGGGTCAACATGGTCTCACTACTCAGAGGCCACATGGGTTCCTTTGACATCCAGACATGTTGTAAAACAAAGTGGGACCTGAACCTTCATCACTAGCTCCCAACCATCCCCAAATACCACAGACTGAACGTGAGTCAGTTCTCAACAGTTCATGAGCACTAATCAGGGGAGGACTTTTTGCTGTGAGGGTAAAGAGAGAGACCCTTCACCCTTAACAAGGATTTTTCCCAAGGTGCAGCAATTACTGAGTTACTGTGTGCTGGTCCTTGAATACACTGGTCTCAGAGGAACCCGGGTATAACCGTTGTCTAGCACCAACATCCACCATGTGTCATGCCTGTGGGAGGGGGTCAGGAAGCTGGCAGGCAGGCAGGCAAGATGCTCAAGCCTCCTTGGAAGCCAGCCATGGCCACACAGTCTCCTGTACCCAGAGCTAGATGCTTCCAGGCTTGGCTGCACTTCAGCTTTAAAAAAAAAAAAAAAAAAAAAAAAAAAAAAAAAAAAAAAATTTTTCAAATATCCATGTCTCACTCTTCTTTGCATACCCCATATTTGCCTTTGGAGTCACATCAATATTCATGTAATAATACTTTTAAAAAGCACGCAAAAAACTGACTCCACACTTCCTGCCCAACAGGCCCATTTTCTTTCTAGATCATACCCAGTTGTAGTTGCCCAGTGAATCCCCAGGGTACGCCGTCAATGGGGCCCTGTATGCAGGCCTGGCTGCCCAGCACCTCCCTCCCCTTGGCCCCCATTGGCAGCCTCAGCCTGCAGTGGACTGCGCCAAGCCCACACCCAGTCCTCTCTGGAGGAGGAATAAGAAGCTGCTCTGTCCATACCCCTGCCACTCGGACACTGAAGTCAGAGAGGACACCAGCAACAAAAGGTGACCAGGAGGTGAGAAATAGCTGCTGACAGAGGACTCAAGAAAAACCACTCTTTTTCTTCTTTCTTGGAGGGTGAGGAGTGAAGGGGAGAGGATGGAAATTGAGCTTTAAAATGGGGGGAGGGTAGACTTTGGGGACATTTGGCAGCATTTCAAAACTGCTGATGACATTCTGTGGTTTAAACCTGGTGCTACCGTTTTCTTGTGACTACCATTGACATTGACATTGTCTAGGGTTTTATTTTCATCACGTGGAGGGGGGGGAACCTTAGGTCATTTTTGAATGACCCAGAATGACTACCGATGTTTTCAGAGGTGGCCTGTAAACTGTTTCTTTTCTAACTCCGAAGGGAAGGTTTGTCCTTGGGGAGGGGGGCATGTTACCCCTAATCCTCAACTAGAGCTCTCCCTTCCTGGCAGCAGCTCCCTTCCCACCTCTCCCCACCCCTGTGGCCCTGCAGCACCCCTGCTAGCATTTCTAGTTTCTCTATTTGAAATGCCAAGCTCCTATATCTCCAGATACCACAAAAAAAAAAAATAATGCCAAAGAGTTGAATCTTCTCAGATAATTAGAAATTGGGATAAAGAAACAGGGTTAGAAATGGGTTCTGATATCATTAAACCCTCCTGGGGAGGGAGGGTCTCTGTGAGGACCTCTTATCTTATAGGCAGCATCTTTCCCAGAAGCTGAAGTCCTATGCTGTCTTTACAAAAGACTAATGCGTAATATTTTATGGGTGTTTGCTTCCATTTGTCTTAGATGAAAGGAAGCACGGGGAAATTTGAACTTGTAATGTGGTTATGAAAACGGTTGAATTTTAGGGAGTTTTCTAGCATATGGGATATATGTCACACCTTTTTATGTCCTCGTCCCTATGCACAAAAAGACCCTTTAACCCTTCCCACCCCCCAGCCAGGACTTTGAGAAGTGTCAAGCATGATACAGAGTTTCTGGAGATTTTTTTTTAAATCAATAACTGTGCTGGGTATGGGCCAACAGTTAGGGAGCAGAGAGGCAAGATCATGACTGAGAGGAGAGTGGGGTGGGAGAGTAGGGGGGGTGAGGGAGTGGAGGTGGGGTGAGGGAGCTCAGTGAAACCTTATCTTAATCTTAAAAACAAGCGATTCTGTACTGCCCTCCCCACTGTTTTTTATAGGCACTAAACTTACTTTCTCTCATTAAAAAAAAAAGTAACTGGGGCTGGAGAGATGACCCAACACCCATAAGCAGCTCACAACTGCCTGCAATTTTAGTCCCAGGGGATACGACACCCTCTTCTGCCCTCTGCAGGCACCAGGCTTGCACACATTCGAGACATACATGCAGGCAATTCACCCATACAGTTTTTTGGTTTTGTTTTGTTTTAAACTAAAACACCATAACTAAAAAAAAGTGAAGAAACTAGAAGAGAATAAAACATTACACTTCAGTCCATCTGGATAGTTCTACTTACATGAGGTCCTTCAGGTGTCTTTGGAATATGTGAGCAAAAACAAAGTTCCTTCACTTTATATAACTTTAGCAAACCCAAGAGTAAGGGGGGAAACAAAAACAAAAACCTCCAATCTGTTCCCTTTGAGGGATCATTAGTTTAAAAAAAAATCTTAAAAGTTACTAAAATTTTGTTCTAGACTATTCTGAGATATAAAATACTCCAGGTGGGAATAAGTTTTCAAGCATTGTTGTTGTTTAATCTTTAATCATGACAGTGCAGGTTCTGATTTAAGGATCAGAACTCAAGGCCAGGGGCTGTCACATGTCTCTGCCCAAGTAGCTGTTTTCTGAAGCAAGCCTCAAGCCGCCTTTGTTTACTGAGTGGCTCACAGCAGCCCTCCCTCATGCCCTCTTCAGGTCCTGGCTGTGCATCAGGTGCTGCTGAGAAGGCTCTTTGCTTCTCGCTGGCATCCTACTCACAAAGACACCACTGTGCTGACGCCTGGCTGTGCTTTGGTCTCCCTGTGTCAAGACACCAGCAGAATCAGATATTTCTGGAAGGTCGTTTCACTGTGATTTTTCAAAAAGTTGGTGCAGCGTTACCTTTATTTTCCAGAAGAGTTTTACAGTTTTTACATTTGTCACCTATCAAAAAAAAATCTCACTCATATTTTTTATTATCTTTTAGCTTTTAAATGTTTGTTTAATATAGGGAATTTTCTATATATAAATGACATTTTAATTATATCTAGTTCTTACACTCCCAGCACATCTGACTGCTAATTTCTGGTGTCCTTTTCTTTGGTCGTTTCACTCCCTCCCTCCCTCCTTCCTCTCTCTTCTCTGTCTCTCTTTCTTCCTAATAAACAACTGAGTTAAGTTAATGCTGTCCAAATGTGTGTGGCCATTCACAGGACAAAAGTTAACATACCAGTGACCACATTGCTCATGTTTTTTTTTTTATTATTTAAACAGCTTAAATTTATATTTTAATTCAAATGAAAATAAGCTCCTTGTCTTAGTTAGGGTTTCTATTGCTGTGATGAAACACCATGACCAAAAGTTGGGGAGGAAAGGGTTTATTCAGCCTCCACACCACAGTTCATCATTATATGAAGTCAGGACAGGAACTCAAGCTGGGCAGGAACCTGGAAGCAGGGGCTGATGCAGAGGCCATGGAGAAGAGCTGCTTACTGGCTTGTTTGGCATGTTTACTTATAGAACCCAGGACCACCAGCCTAGGGATGGAACCACCCACAATGGGCTGGACCCTCCTCCATCCATCAGTAAAATGCTCTACAGCTGGTTCCTATGGAGGCATTTTCTTAATTGAGGCTCCCTCCTCTGAAATAGGACTTTCTTTAGCTTGTGTCAAGTTGATATAAGACCAGCCAGGTCACCCGTGTTCTTGTTCCTGGGAATCTTTTGGAAGCACCTGAATTTTTCTTCCTAACCAGAGGGTGCTGTTTACCCTAATTTAAAAACTGTTCTCTGATGTTGATTTTTTATATGTACTTGACACTAGTCATCTTAGTGTCCTCCTTAAATCCATCAGCGGATGCTACATCCTGAAGACCTCTGGGATTGGGGGTGCCCACCAGGGAAAGCTGGAATCATTCCCTGGTGCTCTGTAGCAACACCTTTGCTTGTTTCTCATCGACCAAATCCAACCAGAAGTCAATTATCTCAGAAACTTAATCCTGTGGCCCACAGGGACATAGAAGGGAGGTGGTGGGCCCAGAAGGCAGAGGATGAGCTGTGATCAGTGTGGAGTCACAGGCCTCCTCTCTTGGCCAGGCACCACCTCCCCTCATCTGGGCTGAGGTATTATACTCTTCCAAGAACAGGGTGGAAACTATGAAAAGGTGTCTTTCTTCTGCAGCCTCCAGGATGTCTGAGCTGGAGAAGGCCATGGTTGCCCTCATTGATATCTTCCATCAGTATTCAGGACGGGAGGGTGACAAGCACAAGCTGAAGAAATCAGAACTCAAGGAGCTCATCAACAATGAGCTCTCCCACTTCCTGGAGGTAAGCCTTACAAAAGCACCATTGTTCGGCACTAGAAATGGTTCCCTGGTTTGCTTCTGTCTGTCTCTGTCTCTGGATGCCCTGGGTTGCTTCTGGAAGCTTGTTCAAACATCTAAGCCCTCCAAGTGTAAGTTTAGATGGGCTGTTTCTGTCCCTTGAGTCAAAGGATTCACAAGTGATGGCAGAATGGAATACTACACCACTCATGACTAACACTTAGAAACTGCCGTGGTGGTGCACCTCTGTAATCCTAGTACTTCACACTAGGAAGCAGGACACCAGCCTGGACTACACAGGGAAAGCATCTCTCGTCACAAAAACAAAACAGGATCAGGGAGATGGCTTAGCAGCCACCGAGCCTGATGATCTGAGTTTCATCCCTGGGATTCACATGACAGGAGGAGAGAACCAATTCCACATACATACGATGGCATGGGAGAGTATGTACACACACACACACACACACACACACACACACACACACACACACACACACACACTTACTTTAAAAAAAGAATGGGGTGTTTTGGGGGAAAAAGAAATCTTTTGGCTTTGTCCAACCGTCTGGTATTTACTACAGAGGTAAGAAATGCCAGACACTAAATAAACATTTCCTGACCACTCAGTAATTCAACACTTGAGAGACACAGCCCAACCTAGCATATCCATGAGTGAGCACTCCCCAAAATATCTGACATTGACCAGGCACAGGTTGAGTTGGGAGTCCACTTAGGAAGTTGCACAAGGGCTCCTGGCAAGCCCTGTTCTTCCCTGGTACTTAACATTCGGGTGGGAGAAGCACTCACTTCCCACCGCCTCCGATGCCCTAGAGTTAGGTGCTAGTGTTTCTACTGTCTATACACCAAGTGCTCCCATGGAAGTGAACTGTAATCCATCTGCCCCCCAATGCTCCCTTGGCCCCCGAAACCAAGGCTGGCTCATGGCACACCTTGAATGAAATGGAAATACCAGAGGCATACAACATGCCCTGCCACAGGAAGCTTCCTGGGCCAGGGAAGTAGCATTAGAGGAAAACTAACCAGTGTTTGATCAAGTGCCAAGTGTGGGTATAACTCTAGAGCACTGCCCTGTCACAAGTAACAAGAAGCCACAACCCAAATCAACTGGGTACATGTTGACACTTAGTGGCTAGGTGTCTGGCTGAAGTTTCCTTCCTCCTGTTCAGCTTGTAAGACCCCCGGAAGCTCAGGCCTCCAGGATCTCAGCCCAGGACGGTGGCTACCCCAATCACCATGCTGAGGCAGAAACTTGATGCAAACAGCATGAGGCTTTATTGTTATTTAATGAGCTAACCCCATGTTAGCTCGGGTCTTCCATCCATCCACCATGGCGGATGGCTAGGAAAGACAGCTCGAAGCGTCTGCATAGAGATCTTATAGGGCAGCGTAAGGGGTACGCACAGGCTCAGGATTGGTGTGGCTCCAGGCTTGCCCTGTGTTGATTGGTCAACTGGTTGTTATGGCCCATAGGCCCTCCCAGGGTGGTTGCTATGCTCTGTGCGTCATTGCTGTGCACCTGTCCGTAAAGCACACCCAGAGCCGTAAAGCATAGCACCACCAGCTAACTTCTGATTGGTTCCTTGCCACAAGGCCGGCATCAGACCTCCTAGTGACCAAGGCAAGGTCAGGCAAGCACATGTTCAGCTGGTATGGCTGCCGAAATGGGGAGCTGGTCCCTTCAAGCTAATTACTTCATTGTGGTAGAGACAGCAGGACCACAGGCTTGCTGGAGAAGTCTCCAAATCTGCTTTGAAGAACTAATTTCTCAGGCATTCAGATTCCCGAAGAGACCACTACTCCACTTGCTTAATCAGTTATAGTCCCACCCATTCTATCTTTCGATGTAACCATCTTTAAAGGGGAGTACACAGGGGTGAGGTCGAGCATGTCTGGCTCTTCACATAGAATGGAAGCTCTATTGGTAGTAACTTAAAATACTCGCTACCACCATGATTTTAGAACAGAAAAAAAAAAGAGCATATGATGTCACATTTATTAATGTTACAATATCGAGGTATCATCCATATTTGTTGGCCTGGTTTAACAAAAGCACTAGAGAAAATCAACTCAAAGGAGGGAAGGTTTATTCCGCTCATGGTTCCAGCCCATGGTTGTCAGGCTGCACTGTGTGAGGGCCTTTGATGAGGTCAACCATCATGGCAAGGATCAAAGCTGCTCACCCGGTGGAGGCAAACAAAGAAAGGAAGTGACCTCACTTCATCCCAAAGGTCCTACCACCTCCCAGTGGTGCCAGCGGTGGGCCCCAAGCTGCTTACACATGAGCCTCTGGAAGACATGTAGAACCAAAATCACAGTCCCTGTGGTGTAAGTGAAAGAACTATACTGTGCCATCTATATTTTGGGAGATATTTAAAAGTCTTCATGAGCCCCTCGGAATCACCATCTTTCACGCCTGAATCTTTTGTATTTAGGGAAGCACGTGACTTCACAGAGCTCTCCTGGCAGGGACGGGGGTGGAGGGAGTTGTTAATTAAAATGGTCAGAACTGGAATCTTCCGTGCTCAGAGTCTGCATCCTTCCCACTGGTCTTCAGGCCTGAACTCTTGGTGCATCAGCAGCCTGACCTTTGTCACTCAGTGGTAGCCTTACCACTCATCAGGCTTCGGTGTCAGGACTATCAGGAAAAAGCCTACGACATGTAGGAAATAAGCCAAGACGATAAAAGAACAGAACAGAACGGCAGCTCTGACGTGTTCCCAAGTGAACGTTAAAATCCACATGGCTCCCAAACACACACAGGCTCTCCAGCACTGAGTTCATTTTTTTTTTAAAGATTTATTTATTATGTATACAGCGTTCTGTCTGCTTGTATGCTTGCACGCCAGAAGAGGACACCAGATCTCATTCAAGGTGGTTGTGAGCCACATGTGGTTGCTGGGAATTGAACTCAGGACCACTGGAAGACCAGCTAGTGTTCTTAGCCACCGAGCCATCTCTCCAGTCTGAGTTCTTTTCTTTAAGTCACTGGCTCAGGTTGAGATGGGATTCACACATGTTCCAGGTACAATCTGTTACTTCTTGATTATTTCCCTATTTTAAAGTAACCCAGGTCCCACTAGACCAAAGGCAAGAGGAGAGGCACAGACTCCACCCCACTTTCCTGTGGCTGACTGTCCCTCACTCACAGAGGACTGCTAGAAGTTTTCATAACCTGTATTGGGATTTTTTTTTCTGATGCAAATTATCACCCTGGTACTTTGAATAACATTTTGATAGCCCTGAATCCCATCTAAAAAGGACTTCATCAGCTTTTCTTTTTTTCTTTCTCAATCTCAGGAAATCAAAGAGCAGGAAGTTGTGGACAAAGTCATGGAAACACTGGATGAAGATGGAGATGGAGAGTGTGACTTCCAGGAATTTATGGCCTTCGTCTCCATGGTGACTACAGCCTGCCATGAGTTCTTTGAACAAGAGTGAGACAAAAAAAAAAAAAAAAAAAAAAAAAAAAAAAAAAAAAAAAAAAGTAGCCAAGCTGTTCCTGTGGCAGACATGAAGGCCAGGAAAGTAAGCAGAGTGGAAGGCTTGCAGGCTTGAAGGAGCGGAGCTCTCCATCCACATATAACTAATTAGGAAGCTTGATTTGCTTTGGGTATGAGAAACTGAAAGGCTTCCCAAAAGCTGCTTTAAGTTAGCACACATCATTATTTCTGCTACATTAGGCATTCCTGTGAACTGTCTGGTCCCAGGAAGTGTTGGTTAAGAATCACTTAGGGGACAAATTCAATGCTGGGCAGTACAGCATGTGTGGCAGATCATCGTGCCCCTGAGAAGCATGGCCCAGAAGAATCACAGCTGCCCACCAACAGCAAGCAGTTCTCTAGGACGGCATTCTTAATGCTTCCAACAGACCCCCAAATCCACAGCTGGATCCACTGTCCCTGGAAGAGGCTGTTTTTCCTTACATCTTCCTTACGCTGTTTGTGCAAATATGCCAAGAAAGCAGGCAGTCTGATTACAATACCCTCCCCCAGCCCAAAGGTGCAGGGCCACTTAAATCTCTGCTTCCCATGAGCAGCCACTGCTAAATAAATATTTAATGCCAACAGTTCTAACTGGAAAACAAATAGGCCTCCCAAACTAAGCGTTAACATCCTAACTCGGGACTGAGACTCGAAGCTCTATTCAATAGACTTCTTTTAGGATGACACTGTTATTCCTATAGGATGTGTACAGAGGAGAAGGGTCACAGTGTAATGTTGTGAAATAATCTTTTTGTGCACTCTGAAGATGCGTCGCTCTGATTGGTTTAATAAAAAGCTGACAGCCAATAGCTAGGCAGGATTTTTCTGGGTGGAGAGAATGCTGGGAAGAAGAAGGTAGGAGCCATCAGCCAGATGAGAGAGGAAGCAGGATGGGCAGTACAAAGTAAAGGTAACCAAGCCACGTAACAGAACGTAGAATAAAAGATATAGGTTAATTTAAGTTATAAAAACTAGTTAGGAACAAGTCTAAGCTATCTGCTGGGTTTTCATAATTAATAAGTCTCTATGTTGGGTTTTTTGTTTTTGTAGTTTGTTTGTGAGCTGGAGGCCCAAAGAGAATCCCATTTATAGTGTAAGGTCTTTTTCCAGCTAGCTGTATGTCCCTGGCTCCCTCTGCTGTGTATAAAGCAAGTGACCATGAGGTTGAAGTCTGTAGGGTAAGTTTCTGGGGGAATGAAGGATGTGCCCTTAAGTGGCTGGAAGTCACTTCTGACCTGCTATGCCTAGGGCCTTCTTACCACTTGGTGAGGCTGAGAGTCAAGACTGGTGGAAAGCTGAACTTAATGCTTTTTAACCTATATAATGCAAACAAGGAAGGTTCAAATAATTCAAGTTATAATAAATAAAGATCACAACATAAATATTAAAAAGACATTCTAGGAAAATTCTAATTATTCTTACCCACCACCTCCTTTTTAGTATGGTTAGTTTTAAGAGAAGAGACTTAAGTCATTAAGTCAACTGAACAATGCACTTGCATAAAACAAGAGCGTTGTAAAAGAAAAAATCTTCCACCACTAAGCAAACGATAAAGCACTCACTAGACCAGGACACAGACTAAAAGTCCCGAAAGTGGACTGCCCGGACCTCACCCCATCCCTCAGCCACAGCCCAAAGCTGGGGCTGCAGAAGGCTCTGGGATGTCAAAGGTTGCACAGAGTCGGACTCTCCCTGACTACAGGATACCATGTGGCTCTTGCAGGCAATTTTCTGGACTGGCTGCAACATGTTAGCTTTCTTGCCACTGGGACAGAATGTGTGGTATAATTAAAAATGGATAAAGGTTTATTTGGCTCATTCTTTCAGAGGTTTCGTTGTGGAAGGAAGGGCATGGTGGAGGAGCTCCTTCCATGGCAGACAGAAGGAGAGTGGAAAGGAAGGAGACATTGTATACCTTCCAAGGTATGCCCCAGAAATCTACTCCTCCTAGTTAGCCTCACCTTCTGGAGACCACGTGTTCTAACACATGAACCTGTGGAGAATGCTGAGTAGACACAGGAGAGCACTGGAGACCAGAAGCCAAGAACTGGCAATGAACTGAGCTGGACTGCAAGGGCACATAGTAGGTACTCTGGGGCACCCGAGCTACCAAGACAGAAGACCAGCAGCTATCTACAGGGATTCCTGATGTCCTTTCGTCCCAGCCACATGGTACCATCCTCACATTACACTTTCCACATGGTCAGGGACATCTGCTTATCCAGGCCTCCCGAACCCCTCCCTCCAGAAAGGCAGATGTAACTGCTGTCTTCAAGAACCTTCCCGTGTGACTAGAGTTGGGCATGAATTCCTTGTCAATGCAAGCTGCCACACTATATATCACCTACACATAAATGACTTCTATTTGCCGGGCTGAGGCTGGGGAGATTCTGACCTCTGGTGATCAGTGGTCCACACTCACAGAGATACCTGAGCCAACCCTGCTGAGAAGATGCACTCTCCAGCCTGGCCCTCTCTAGGGGATGCTGGAAGGTAGCCAGATCTCTGCAGGTGTCCTGAGGTCCTCTCCAAGCTGAGCAGGGGAGCAGCTCAGGGAGGAAACTCTAGTCTTTAACCACTGAGGCAGCTATGAAAGGAGAGAGGAGTGAGCCGAGGCCATTCCCCAGGACAGTGACAGTGTTAGAGGGGAAACCAGTACTGCTGAGTGGCTGGGGGCAGACCATGACCTTTTCCATATGGCCCTTCTTGGGGGTAATGGGTATGCAGGCGCCACACCCACCACAAACTCTGACCTACCCCTGTTACCAGTAGAATGGTGGCTAGGCGGGAATGCCACTGTGGAAATGAAAGTAGGCATCAGGGAGGTGACTCAATGGGCAATGGTGAGGGGTGCTGGTACAGCAGCCCAGGAAGTGCTGTGTGCGATCCTGCACACCTCACAATGTCGTCATTAAGACATGTACAGATTGTATGTGACAGAGTCAAAAGTCTGCAATTTATTAAGTACAAAAGCAGATTATAAAGTAAGTATATGGTCCTAATTTTGTTAAAAAAATTTTTTAAAGGTTAAAAAAAAATCCCTGAGATTCAAGGCAATACTAAGACTGCTATTACTCATCAGTAGGACTGTAGAAGATTTTAAATCTCCTTTCTTACACTTTAGTGTGTTTTCCAGATTTTATATGATATGCATAATTGTTTTTGTATTCCTGAAAGAAATAATGCATAATAAAATACATCCTAGTTGGGGGAAAATTTTAAAACCCTTTCACACATTTCAAAATGCAGAATTACAAAGTCAATAGCTTTTATTAACATGATATAAAAAATTAGTGTGATATACAGAATTCCCAGAGAGTAACTTTAAAACATTTTAATACGATTCTTAAAATCTTAACTTACCAAGTAACGTTCTTACTGCCACTGAGTTTTTAATACAAAAAGTTTACAAGCGCTGTTTACTATAAAACTACAACGTTGAGACCGTGGATAGGTAGTCTGTTCTCAGCTATCTACTGTGAACCTTCATCAGTCTGTTGCTAAACCTCTGGCGCCAAGTAGTAAGTGACATGGATTCTGTACACAATTATAACAGGATTATTAAGATTCCAGTATGTTTCCACATACTACACCACATGATACCATGAGCAAAAGGGCTCCTGCACACAGTGCTTTCCGGGGGTGGGATGTGAGTGAGGGACCAGTTAGCTAGACTCACTGAAGCACGAGTCCAGGCTAACTCTAGAAAAATCTAGCTGTTTCTGTGAAGCAGGTATGATTCATAAACCTCTCTACCCTTGAAAGCCCCTAAGCCCCAACAACTTGATAACATTAATCTCTGATTAGTCATATAAAAATAATCTTAGATTCATGCTTGACTTCAAATTCTTCCAAGTATCTAAAAGATTTTACATTCTCTTTTCTGACATAAGTACAATATTAGATCACTTGGATTTCAAGTCTGGATAAAATAACTAAAAATGGTTTGGCCAAAATTTTATAGGCACGTAACTAAAATGCGAAGCCGAGAGGCTGCAGCGGTGTCCATCCTAGAGAGCCGGGCTCCTGGGGCGACTTGAGTGTGTAGGAGACCCAGCTGGCACATGGATAAGACCTTAGGATGTCACTCGCGCTTCCAGACCTGCTCTTAAGAATAAATCGGTATACTTCATGAAGAAGAATTAATATTGTGATGCCATGAGAACTTGCAGTTTAAATGTCACTAAGTTATAGGCTAGGAAAGTGATTTTAAATTAAATGCTGGTTTATCTATCTGAAATAGATCTAACAGTCCAAATGGCACATTCTGAGCATTAGTGACAACACACGCAGACAAACAGGCACACCTGCTCCAATAATCACTGGGAAAGGAAGCTGTGTGGCTCGGTGGAGTCTGTCAGTGTGGAGGTGGGGGGCTGCTCCTTTCATCAGCCCTCCTAGGCAGGCTTGGCTCAAAAGTTCTCTCCAGCATAAACTTTACATATAAGCTTGTTGTTACAAGTGGGAATAAATAATCAGGAAATTATATATTTAGAAATCAGGAATATTTTTTTAGCCTAAAAAAGTGCAAGCTCGCAGCATAGCAGAAAACAGCCGTGATGTCAGCAATGTCCGCAGTGTGACACCAGGCCTTTCCTTCCCTTCCCAGTCACCCATGTTTTGGTAAATATACTCGGCAGACCCAGAACATTTCTTTAGTTGGTTCAGACATGTTCTAACATGACAGTCAGGATGCTGATGAGAGGATCTGAGAAGCACACACGGGGTGAACTGAGGAAGCCTGAAATCCCTTCTCCGGGGGCACCGACAGTGCCACTTCTCTTTGCCTTATACCTCCGCTGGTTCACACTCCCTACAGCCACACTCACATGTTGTAGGCCACATAGATGGGGTCCAGCTGGTCGGCCAGGAAGCCGTCGCGCAGGTGCATACGCTGTTTCTCACCCCGAGAGTTGATGGGGATCACCCCAGGGTCTACGATGACCACCACCCCCACCACAAGGTAGTGCTCCTCCAGCACGACATTGGTCACCAGCGCTACCAGGTCCAGGGCATCCTGCTCCAGACCGTCCAGCTCCACCACTACCACCAGCAGATTGGTCCAGGTGAACACGGCACTGAAGGAGAGCAGACAGTCACAGAGATGGACATCGCTGGGGGCAAGCAGATGCTTGGAAAGTATGCCAAAGCTGGCAAAGACACCTCTTACATTCATTGGCACAGCACTGCTATTTAACATCATTTATAATCTTAACGCCGGGCTACCTATACCTTATAGGAATATCTACTCTGACTTTCTTGATAAGAATCAAGAGCAATCTTGATAAGAACGAAGCTGTGCTTGTCCCAGGGCAGGCTCCCTACAGAGTGAAGAGGTCATAGCTCACCACCGTTTAAAAAGAAAATCACGTTTAACCTAGCAATACTTCTGAATGAGAACAGTGGGCATCTCACATTTTGCCTGTATGCCAAAGACGGCTGTGTGATTTAAAGCTGACCAGGAAAAGGAAGAGACGGGGAGGCATTCTCTGCTGCTGTTTTGTACAATAGGTAAGAGGTGCAGGCCCTTTTGGGAGGGAGGTGAGGATGACCCAGCTCACCAGGGACTGCAATTGTGCGGGGATTGTGCTCGTGGTAGACAGTGCCTGGTGCTGCCCTTGTGTGCAGTGCTCATGCCCAAGGAGAGGGTGGACGGATAGCACAGGAAACCCCTCTGTCAGCTCTTACCATTCTGCAATGCTCCTGTGTGCACGGATCACAGAGGTTTCTATGTCGATGGGGTGGTACCGCATGCCTCTCAGCTCTAGTGTTTCATCCAGAGACCCAACAACATACAGTGCATCGTGTCGCTCTGTGAACATGAGTATGTGCATGCTTAGGAAGCATGCTACACGGTGAGCATGCCAACCCTCTGTGTATGCCTCCTACTGGTTGCCCTGTGCCACATGGAGGCATGACACCAATATCTCTTGGTGAAGATGCCAACAACTCGGTCTTTCCTGTGTGGTGGTCAGTCATCTCAGCAGTTACAGCAGTTTATGTTAATATATTTGACATCATTTTAGCTACAGCATGGTAGAGCAACCATAGGCTACAAAAGTTCTGACTCTGGCTGTTAGGCCTGCAGGGGCCAGACCTTTGGGCAAGCATCACAGCTTGGCCTCATCAGGGTGGAAAGGGCACCACATACGACTGGAGAACCACACAGAGCGCACCATCTGGGTGGAAAGGGGACCACGTATGACTAAAGAGCCACACACTGAAGAGCACACCATACTTGTAAAGAATGCAATTCCTGGGATGGCAATGTCACTTGAGAGGAACCTCTGCAGCATATGGCCAATAGCTGCCACCACCCTCACCGTATCCTCTTCAGAGGTCAAGAGTCTAAGACTGAGGGGCAGCCATAGAAGGAGGAACAACACTCACAGGAAAGTGTACTGGGGCCTATGCTTCACCCTACACTGAACAACACAAATTACAGCCAGTGCTGTATGTGTGTGCAGTACCAGGTAATTAAGGGCTCCGAAGGGGAGGCAAGGCTTACTGGCTGCAGCAACAGAACCCCCAATCCCTGCCATGCTGGGGCAAGCCCTTCCCCGAGGAGCTCTTACCTCCACTGGCATCAGTCAGCTCTGTCCTGCGAAGAAAGCCAAGGTAGCCAGTCCTTGCCCAAATGGTCTGGGTGTCTCCAAAGCTCAGCCGGGCACTGAAGTGGTCAGCATGAAGTGTCTCCTCCCCATAGACTGTGTAGTACCCAGTGGCATTGTGGGGACTGCTCACCCAGATCTAGTGGACAGGGGTAGTCAAGAAGACAAGCAAACCAAACACGGTAACACCAAAAAGGTGAGGGCAGCATTTCCAATGTCTTCTTTTGTGAACTGAATACAGCTACAAGCATAGAGAGCAAACATAAATATGACTACTTACTAGTTCTTTGTTTTCTTCCTCCTTGCCCCCTACGCCTTCCTTCCCTCCTCCTTCTTTTACACAGGGTCCTGCTATGAATCAGGTTGGCATCTGATTCATAATCCTCCTACTTCAGACTCCTGAGTGCCAGGATTGATTGTGTGTGTGTGTGTGTGTGTGTGTGTGTGTGTGTGTGTGTGTGTATGTGTGTGTGTGTGTGCGTGTGTGTATGCCTAGCATAACTTCCTCTAAAATAAATTGTTCCTTTGATCCAGGAAAGGTATCTGTATGGATCTGTCCTGTCTAGACATGTTTCCACATCCATATGTCAAATGACAGTGACAGTGAGAGAGAATGGGGTTAGTGTGTTGTTCACAACAGGGTCAGGTTAAAGTGCACTCTGTGTGGAGAACACACAGCTGCTCACTCCTTCATGCCTCAACAATGCAAATGGCACACTGGTGTCCACAGCACCTCTGTGGACTTGTGATCATCCTGCAGGATGCTCACTTGTGAGTTGCTATGCATCCAAAATCTGTAAGTGTGTACCTTAGTCCTCAATAGTGTCAAGGGGCCTCCTAGACAGCGCCTACCCAGGACCCAGTAAGCTGCCCACACTAACAATGTCACACAGCAGCTTCCAAAAGGAGAATCAGAAAGGCGGGCAGCCCCCACTGGGAGCAGGTCCACCATTCAGCTCAGACCTCCCATGCCTTGTGGGCACCCCCTGCAGGCTCTCCTTGCCCTTATCTGCCTAGTGCCTGTGAATAAGGGGCCCCACCTGCTCCCTGCTGGTAAGTGAGGGCTCCTATCTTCCCACTGTACACAAGTGAGGTACCCACCCAACTGGCTCACTACTGTGAGTAAAGGCCTTATTTGCCCGTTGCCTGTGAGTGAGTGAGGGGCCCCAAGTGCCCACTCCCTGTGAGTGAAGTACTCCACCTATCCAGTGCCCACGAGTGACGGACCCCACTTTCCCACTGTCTGTGAGAGGCTCCACTGGCTCACTCTTCATGAGTGGGGAACAACACCTGTTCAATTCCCGTGAGTGAATGGTACACCTACCTATTACCTGAAGTGAGGGGCTCCTTCGCCCCTGTGACAAAGACACACTATCTATCTAATACCTATGAGAGGCTGTGTGCCACAATTGCCTTATATATGGCTGAGTCTTTGGGACACCAAGGATCCTGAGCTTGGAATAAAGTCCTGTGTGACCTTGAACCTGAAGCCAGTGTTTAATTGCCACTGGCTCTGTGATTCTGGCTTGGATGCAATGCCAAGTTTTAAGGAGTGGCTGACTAGTTCTGCCCAAAGCAGCTGTGACTCCCCTGGCACCCCAGTGTCCTCATAACTTTGGTGGGGTGACAAGAGGCCTCTTTCCTACATGCTGTGAAGCCCTATATACCAGCAGGACCTGAGAGTGCAATGGAGGTAGCAAAGAGACAATTTCTAGGATTCTCCAAAAGACACACGGAAGCTGAAAAGCAGTTGAGAACACTTGCTGCTCTTCCAGAGGACCTGAGTTTGGTTCCCAGCACCTACCTCAGTGGCTCACAACCACCTGCAGCTCCAGCTCCAGGAAAAATCCCAGCCTCTGGCATCTACAGACACTTGCACTCATGTGCACACACCCATAGAACACACACACACACACACACACACACACACACAGAGAGAGGAGAGAGAGAGAGAGAGAGAGAGAGAGAGAGAGAGAGAGAGAGAGAGAATAATAAAAATAGATCTTTTCAAAAAGACATCTGGAGTCCCAAAAGGTTTAGAATTCCTGAACAATAAGGGAATTCTGAGAGGAGTAGAGGGAAGCCAGGCTCTGGAAGGCTCTCACACTGGTCCATACCCACCCTCTGGCAGCACTCACCTCACCCAGATGTGAGTCTCCGAGGGGCCCTTTGGTCTCCGTGTGTGCAATAATGACCTTCACTCCTGGGAGGATCTGCAAGGAGGGAAGCTGTTAAAGGTCCTGGTGAAAAGAAACCTCCTCGACTTCCGATTCGGTGGCATGGGCAAGTCCCATTTCTCAGACACCCTTTCCTTTCTGCCGCTGAAGCTGGTGAGCAGGACTGGCTACAGATCAGGAGTTTAGTAGATTTTAAAAGAGGAGACACTAACAGAAATACAACTCGAATCTGAACAAAATGGCCCAGGTCCTGAAAATGGGCCCTGTCTTCTTTATTGGGAGGGCGTTTAGGGGATCTTGCATCCATTCTTACAGGTGGTCCTCCCTGCAGAAGGCCAGCTATAGTTGTCTGTCTCACTGTCAGGCACCTGTCAGTGGGGAAGTCCTGTACCCATGAGCTAGCCTTTTCAGGCATAGGCAGCTGAGTGGCCACGTGCTCTGCTGAGCTTACCACACTCAGTTCTGGGTCCTCTCTGTGCTTGGGTCACTTCACCCTGAAGTCCAGCCACCTGCTCTGTGTTCCCAGTCTCCTCATGAATGAAACAGAGGATGGTACTGTGGCCCTCAGAAAGTGGAGGAGAGGCTGCATGGACTGCTAGCAGCTAGCAGGCATGGCCTTGCTTGAAACTGCTGAGCTGTCTGTCTCCTGACACACTGACGAGAGACAGCCTCTCATCTCTCCTTCTGTGGCCCACCTGTATCCTGAAACCAAAGGACTCAGAACACAATTCCTCCAGGCCCATGCCACTCCTGCGAAGCAGTGGGTAAAATAACTATGGTGCAGCCATATAGGAACAAGGTATAAAGAGGTTTCCTAAAGGTAATGATTATTGGTAGTCAGGTATCTATGCTGGCTGCCCTTGGGGTTCTGACAGGATATTTCTCAGCTGCAGCCACTAAGGGCACCATCTGTGCCTATTCCTGCCTCTGGGGCTGAAGGACATGTAGAAGCAGCCCTGGGAGCCTCTGATAAGCCTGGATGCAATGAGGGTGCTGTGCAGTTGAGCAGGCAGTGTGTGCCCACTCACCGGCCTGGCTGACTCCCCCTGCCTGGTCACCCTTCCTTGACCTCTCCTTGCTTCTGAGGATGCTGGTCTTCCAGGGTTTGTGCTGCCGACTCCACACTGGCTCATATTTCTAGGTGGGCAGTCTCAGGCAGAATTAGCCCTTCCCAGCCCTCTGGAGACTTCTGGGGGCCTCACCAGGCCAAGACTGGCTTTGATGGCAAATCTCCTCTGCGTGTGCCCTGGTGGGGCCTCTTCTCCACTGTCACCCTGGATCGGAGTTCATGTTCTTGACACCTCCAGTCCAGGATCAGGACTGCCCTCTGTGACCGGAAGTATGAGGGCCCTTGACCCGTAGCCTACCCACCCACCTCCTTCCACTGTCTGCAAAGAGGCATCCCTTCTCTGCTTCTGTACCCGGGCACTCCAACTATGGGCTCTACGCCCTGAGTATTCAAGTATCTCATTTCACATTTCTAGGCTCTTCAGTGGCCAATCCCACTCCCCAGACAGTATCGTATTCACCAGAAACACACATTCCAGCACTGTCCACACCAACTTCTACTACCTTTCCAGACTCCATCAAGGGTAGACTATGCGGAGAGCCCCGTTCCACCAAACGAACTCTAAAAGTTGACAAAGGAAAGAAAATCAGAATAAAATTTACTCCATGGTAATTTCTAAAAGGGCAAATCACACGTGCCCAAGTGAGCCCATGATGTCGTTTCCTGGTTGTCAATGTCCCTGCCTTGGCCAGCATCATTACCACACAGGACGCTGGAGATACCCAGCTCAGACAACCCCAGCCTACAGCACTTAGTCAGAGTATGGACAAGGCCATGCAGTACCTGTCATGGCGCAGTGCCCGCATGTCCACGTAGACAGTCGTGGGATCTGGGCCTGTTGTGCCCTGGAAGGAGAACAGAGGAACTTCTTTCAGAATTCTTGTGCTCTGCCCAGTTTCATAAACTGGTGTGGCCATGTGGTAGCTCCTCCCAGGCTGCTTATGACACCCGGAGAGAAGCTGCTCATCTTGCAACCAGTCTGCACAAGGGCTCATGGTCCCCATGGCAGAGCTGGTGCTGTCCATCCAAACATCTACTTGTCTAGATGACAGTGAGCAAAACACTCAGTAACTGAATGAAAACATTAAATCCTGGGATTTTTACGTCGGTTCTGATTAGTTTCTGTCCCTACTGGCCTCTGCTGTGCTGAATCAGCACTCAGATTGGGGACACTTCCACCCAGTGTCAAGTCAGGGCCTGGAGTCTCACTAACTCTGCTAAGGACTAAGTACCACAGAGGCTCAGAGGAGCCAGACAACTCCAGTGTCATGCTGGCAGGATGTACTGGACAGTGTTGTCCCTTAACATGGTTTACTATTATTACATTTATTTAATTGTATGTGTTCATGTGCATATACCCACATGCCTACGGAGGTCAGAGGACAATTTGGGGAATCAGCTCTCTTCTACCTTGTGAGTTCAAGGGACTAAACCCAGGTAGGTCATCAGGCTTGGTAGCAAGCACCTTTACCAGCTGAGTCATCCCACCCTGCTGGCCTGGTATTGCCATTTTATTGACAAGGAACATCAAACTAAATGGATGCCCCGGCCACATCAATCCCTGAAGCATCTAGACAGCATGACCTCTCACCAGCCTCTGAGAACTTTACATTTGGCTCAAAGGAGCTCATGGAAAGTCAAATCATTCTCATTGTGAATACACTAAGACAGTAAAAGAACACATGTATTCTGGAATCCACCAGAAGATCACACGAACTCATCGAAGCAGGGTGGGGATAAGGAGCAGGAAGTGGAGGTGACAGACATGGAGACACCAGCAAGGTTGAGGGCTAGGGCAAGGTCCTACCTGCTCAGCTAGTTTTCCCAGCCTGTTGGGCTGACAGAGGCCAGGGCGGCCAGCAGAGGGAGACAGGGAGGAAATAGCACAGGAAACAAACAGAAGGCCACAGGCCACATGAGAAACACCGTGAGAGAGAAGAGCACATCACTGTATCTTAAAGAGCAAACACAGATCTGTCATTGCATGTGGCCCTCACATGCTGACAAACGAGGCCAATGCCCTCCCATACACAGGATGGGGGGCACCGTCAGAGCTAGAATCAGGTATTTCTTAACCCACAGTTACCAGCGTGCACATCAGTCACAGTGTACATCAAACCCGGGCCCCCTAGTCTGTTGTGGCTACACAGTCATCTGAAACTTACAACAGCCCGGGGCAGAGTCCATTCATGGCTGAGAGGACATTAGCAAAATGAGGTGGGAGACAGGAGTAGACTATGGAGCCAAGACCTGTCCTGCACATGCAGCCACCAAGAGAATAAATAGGGTACAGGCTGGACATGTGCTTTGGGAACCCAGAAAGGGTTGTGGTGATTACAGCATCTGATATGTCAGATATCTGACCAGTATTTGCCTTTAAGAAATGCTTAGAAAGGAGTGAAATAGAGACTAGTATAAAAATCAGGAAATGGGGTAGCTACTGAAAAAGTCTTGTGATACTCATGCCGGTTCTAAAACTTCTTAGATTACTACTTTAGTCACAGCCCTAAACTAAAGTGGTCAGTATGAATTAGCACCCTTATTAGTGCTTCAATTTAAAATCTGCACATGTATGACATGTATGTAAGTTATGTATGTATGTGTGTATATACACATATGTGTACATAAATATATACATGTTTTTTAACAGAGTCTCTCTATATAGTCCCAGCTATCCTGATTCTCACTGTGTAGACCAGGCTGGGCTCAAACTCACAGAGATCCGCCTGCCTCTGCGTCTTGAGTGCTAGGATTAAAGGCATGCGCCACCACACAGTTTACTATGGATGTCTTAGGAAAGCAATCTTCCTTTTAAAGATTAGCTACATTTAACTTAGAAATGCTTATAGATACCACAGTCACTGCTCAAAAACAAACTTTTTCTTCTGTCTAATTATTCCTGTTCATCAGAAAGAATGGAATATCTTCCTAAACGAAGTCCTTGCGGTCCTCAAAGCTGAACATTTACTTGGAAATGTAACATCCGCAACTCCAAGGTGCAGACATAGATAAAGCCATGTGCTGACGTCACTCTAGGGACACGTTATTCTCTGGTGTGGGGGCCAGTGATCCCAGGTGCAACCAACTTACCTGGAGGCAGATGGCCACATTGACCCTGCACCCAAAGGTGGTGCTCACAGCACGTGCAGGGAGGCCCAGGTCTTTGAACAGCTTGGAAAACGACTGTGTCAGTGAGATCCGGGGCCGTTCCTCAGCTACTACCATGCATGTGCGCACACATGACAGGTTCACCCCTTTCATCTGTAGAAGAGCAAGATGTCATTCCACAACACACACAGTCTGGGACCCTCAGCACTGACTAGGAATCTCTGTGGGACACCCGTGGGCTCTGGCTGTAGATCTGAGCACAGAGTCAGGCTTGAACACAAATCCATTTCCTCTAGTTTTGCCTGCATCCGGGGAATTCAGAGCACAGCAGCACTGGTGAGGACCCTGGAAAGTCTACGGCCAACCCTCTGTCCTGCCTCCTCACACACCCTCCTCTCCACTGGGTGCACAGCTAGCTGGGAAAGAGACCCTGTCAACCAAGTGTGGGCGTGGAAGGAAGGACCCCCGTGGCTGTGTAGCCTAGCTTGGCACTTACCCTAAGGGCGCCTGTCTGTGCGCCCAGACCCTTGGTGCACATCTCCATCACTGAGTAGGAACAGAAGGTAACACGGGCCTTATACTGGCTGACAGCAGACAGCCAGAGGGACACATTGCTCTCCAGCTCCAGTGGGGGAACAAGCACTGACTGGTGTCCGGAGTAGACGCTGTGAGGAGAAAGACAGCTGCAATGGAGACAGCGTGCCAAGCCCTAGGCAAACTTGCTCCTTCCTCACATACACCTGAATGAGCACAAGTCTGTTCTGAAGTCTAGTGGGAGTTTAGCAGAAACATACTGTGCGGTGCACTCCACCAAGACAATCAAAAGCATCAGGAATAAAGTGTGGAAGAGGCTTCCAACTTACAGAGGTGGATCACCACTTTTTAGCGTTTGAATGAACCAGAAGATTCTTCCCAGTCACTATATTTTTTTTCAGGTTTGTTTGTTTTTATGTCCACCCCTCCAGACATGGTTTCTCTGTGTAGCCTTGGAACTCACTCTGTAGATCAGGCTGGCCTGGAACTCACAGAGATCTGCCTGCCTCTGCCTCCAGAGTGCTGGGATTAAAAGAGTAGGACACCATCGCCTTCTTCCCAATCACTAATAATGGACAGTGTTTGTATTTAATTAAAGAATACTCTTTTCCTTTTTAAAAAATGATAATGTGAGGTGTGTATGTGAGGGGTGTGTATGTGGGGTGCATTAGTACAGGTCAGAGGGCAACCTCAGAGTCTGTCTCCTTTTACTTTTATGTGGATTCAAGGGATTGAACTTGGGTTGCCAGATTTGCATAGCAAGTGCTTTAACCTTTTGAGCCACCTTGCTTCCTTCCTTCCTTTTTCTTTTTGAGACAGGGTCTTACTATATACAGGCCTAGCTGGCCTGGAACTTGCTATGTAGACCAGACTGGCCTCAAACTTGGAGGTCCACCTACCTCTGAATACCAAGTGCTGTGACTAAAGGCATATATCACCATGCCTGACTACTTTTATTCTTTTATTAAGTGTAAACCCAGATTCTAACCAACCAACAAACAAACCCATTCACACTCCTTAGATTCCCTGACACTCAAGAAACCATCTAAGAACCGCACGGGCCACACAGGCCCTGGGAGCCATGACTGCACGCCCTCACCTGCACAGACACCACAGTGCAAAGCCGAGGCCACAGTAAGGGTCCAGGCAGATGGCGATCTGCCGAGAGGGGTACAGCTCACACTGAAGCTTTATGGAGCGGCACAAGGCACTTGTGGCTGCGTGTGACATCTGCAGGAGTGAAGAAAAGGCCTGCTCAGGGTTGCGGAGGAGAAAGGTTAGAGGCTGTGTCTGCCGTGCACCGTGGCTGGCTAGGCAAGCAGCTCCATAGCACCAAGCGCCAAATTAACTTCTAAGAAGACAGTTGACGCATACCCCCAGAGAACCTGCATAACCCACAAAAACTGCACACAGAAACCTCTGAAACCAGATTCTATGGCATTAACTAACATTCTTACTGCACAATTACAAAATGGATTGTTCGTTTTATTTATGTGTATGAATTTATGTAAACCATGTGTGTGGCTGGTGTCCACAGAGGCCGGAAGACAGTGTCAAATCCCCTGGAAGTGGAACTATATGTGGTCGTGAGCCACCTGAAACAGGTGTCAGGAACCTGGCTCCTCTGCAAGAGCAGCGAGCGCTCTTATACTGAGCTCTCATACCAGTGGCTTTGAGTGTATTCTTAATCACATAAAACATGCTCAGCAAAGTCCCCTCTATCTAGAGACCAGACATTACCGAAAAAATATACCATGTTCTCAGGTGTCTGATTTTTGGCTCCATCAATGTTTAACATAAATTTTAAGACACAGGATTATCGCTTTGTGCTTTGGATAAGAAGCATCTGCCTAAAGCTACAACCCACATCCTTCAATTTGTAGCCTTACTCCTGCCCGTTCCCTCAGTGTTCCCGCAAGGTTGAGGCCAACAGGAACCCGTGAGGTCCTACCTTTACTCCAGCCAAGATCCCTGTCGTCGATACACTAAAGTCCAAGTACGCAAGCACATCTGGGGAGGGTGGTCTGAAAATGCTAGCTACCTTCTTTTTTGGAATGTCATCTGTTAAGTAGAAGACACCAAGGACTAACGTCACACAGCCTGCACAAGTAAAAGCTTCAACTCTCCCAGAGACAGATCTGTCACAAAAGACAGGCTACCAGAGATCTGGGGGTTGGGGGGAGGAATTCTGTTTGCATGTGGGAAAGATCACTCTTGAGGAGAGATCACTGGTGCAGGCTACCCAAGTCTATTCTGTGGGTGTGGAGCCTGGATGCTGAAGGGAACAGGAGAATAAATCACTTGGTTGCTAAATGGGAAAGGCCGGAGTGCTGAGGCTATGCCAATATCGCAGAGGCTGTGGCTGAGTCACAAGAAGAGCCAGGCAGACAGACTCTCGGGGTCTGTGTGCTTCAAGTTTATGAGGTAACACTGATACTGCCTGCTGTACAAATGGACACAGGTTCAATAGGGCAAGGCTGAGCTCTCGAGACTGAAGGATTCTGGCCAGCTGGAACTCAGAGCCTGATACTTGGCCCATGTCAACTGCCCCAGTACTAGTTCCTCATGCCTGCCAGAGTATCAGGCACACAGCTCTATTAGTCTCTGGTTTCCACACAAAGTGGAACTGCAGAACGCAAGGGTGTGCTGGAAAAGAGAAGGTTCCTAGCACTCAGAAGCCATAACTCAGTCCCTAGTGGTGCTGGGGGCCTGCTAGGCCAAGCAGTCTACATCTGCACAGCAGAGCTGCCCTTAGCTGACCCTGGTGACTCAACATTAGACATAGCTTCTTCCCAGCTGGTGTGAAGGCATCTCAGGGGGCATGATGGTACTCACCAGTGATAGAGACAGGGCTTCTAGAGGGTGCACAGTGAAGACAGTGCCAAGGGATCAGCAAAAATATGTAGACAACTGCCAGCTAACTATGTCGGCAGGAGGCAGTGGGGAATAGGATTTCAAGCCCTAACATGAGCATACGGATTGCTGATGGTGGGCCCAGAGTGGAGACCTCCTATCCGAGACAGGGAGCCAGGCCACGTAAGCAGCAGTGGTACCTAATGCCCCACTAACACTGTACCTGCTCTAACAGGTAAACAAAAGAAGGCATCTTGCCATTTACACAAGCCCATCTATTGATCTAAACATTTTTTTCAATACGTTATTTTATTATGTGTATATGTGTATTCCTGAGTGTACCTGTGTGTACTATACATTCCGAGGTCAGAAGAGGGCACCGGATCCCTTGGTACTGGAGTTACAGGCAGTTGTAAGCCTCCATGTGGGTGCTAAACACCACATCTCAGCCCTCTGCAAGATCAATGGGTGCTCCTAACCACTGAGTCCTCTCTCTCCAGCTCCCCAATGGCTATTTTTTTGTTTGTCAACAGCATAATGCCACAACAAAAAGCCTTCAGGAAGGAAAGCAACAGTTTGTCTTTGCAGGGGCAGCTGGTGGAGACACGTACCTGTGTCTAGGATGGTTGGCCAGGTCCTGACATCTACAGCGGCAGCCGCTTCTTTGGACTTGAGCAGCCGGGTAATGGCCTGTGTGCTAAGGACACATGCAGATTTGCTGACCTATGTCACACGGAAGCAAGAACCCACGTAAGCTGTAAGCCTGGCCACTCATCTACACCCCAGTCTGCAGAGAAGACCACGCATGACAAGTGCCGTGACCCTGCCAGGACATGGCCTGCCAGGAGGGAGAGCGTACCTCTACAATCATCTTCACAGTGGGCAATGTGGTGCCAAGGTTCTGGGGGTGTGGGGGTCGCACAGTGACAGGCACACAGCCGCAGTACAGGCAGCCATAGAATGCAGCAATAAGGTCAACCCCTGGGGAGATAGGGCGACATGGTCAACACTGGGTTCAAGGGAACAGGCACACAATTTCAGGTCCGACGAGGACAACCTAGAACATCTGTCCACAGATAGAGACGGGACAAGTAGGCATGAATTCCTTTTGATACAGCCATGCTTAACTCCAAATGATAAGGTTGGAATTCACCAAACCTAGCACTGACAGTATGTACAGAAAGGAGGGTACCCCTAACCCTGGGAGGGGTTCTCGGGAGGGACCATGAGGATGTGGGGCTGGGGGGGGGTTACATCAGGTGCTCACATACTTCAGTAGGAAGACCCTTGTCCTGTAACTTTGGCTCACTAGACCCAGGGGTTTGAAGGGCTGGGCAAGTCTGCATACACAGACTTAAAGGACAATCTCAGAGATAAAACTGTGGTTCCCCAGACACCACACCAAGAGAAACCATTCCTTCAGATACATATGAAAACTTAACCGTCTATCTCCTAACATATTAAAATGCATTAGAAAGTGATAATAGAAACCAGAATAAAAAAAAAAAAAGACGTGAATAGAAATTTTAAAAATTCATTTCAATATAAAGATGCAGCTTGGAGGAGCACAAGACCACAAAGCCTTAAGATAAAAGATAGGGTTGACATTTATAACTGTGAGTGGGAAGGAGATAGGAGAAGAGGAAATGTCAGTTACTAAAGGCAGATAAAGACACATAGCCGGAAGGGCACAGGCGCTTGAAGAAAAGCAAGGGATCAGAAAACGCGGGGGAAGACGATGACTCACGAAACTTTTCGAATTAAAAGACATGGAAGATTCACATTCAGAAACACCCTGGACATGAGATTATTGAGAAAGAACAACCAACATTAACTCTGCAACATACTAGACTTTGAAGACGGGAAAGTATACATTTGTCACGAAGGCAAACCCAGCAAGAGGTCTGCACCCACTAGAGAGATGGGGCTGCTGCAGGTGGAGACGGCATTGCGTTTGTTATGCTAGGGACAACGGAGCAATGGCTGAAGACAACAATGGTTTATTACATACACCAGGGCTTTCCATGTAGCATAAAGTGAGTATTGACCCCATGCAGCTCCCTAAGGAATCCTCCAGGAAAGGAGTTTCAGAAAATAACTTCCCAGGTCCTGAGACAGATGCGCTAAGGGATGCATATATGGCTAGTATAGTACTATATAGACATGGGACGATGTGAAGGGAGGGTGAAGTTGTAGCAATCACTGCCTGAGAATAGCATCTGTCGTCTGCCGCAGCCCTAATAGGAGGGCGAGACAGAGCACTTGCCCAGCATGTGCAAGGTCCTGGCTTCACTCCTCAGTACTGTGAGAAACAATGGGTGGGGAATGAGTGTGAACACAAGCCAAAAAGTTCAACTTGTTCTTTAAAAAAAATAGCAAGGTGCCTGAGGTACCATAGTAACTATCTTGAGAATTCTGTATGTGATGAGTGATACAATAAAAAGTGTAATAATAGGACATTCCAATCTTGGTAGGCCCTAAAGCAGTGGTTCTCAATCTGTGGCTCTCGACCCCTTTTGGGGTTGAATGACCTTTGCACAGGGGTCACAGATCAGATCTCCTGCAGAGCAGAGTCATATTTACATCATGATTCACAGAAGTAGCATAATTACAGTTATGAAGCAACAACAAAAATAATTTTATGGCTGGGGGTGGGGGTCACCACAACATGAGGGATCATATAAAAGGGTCGCAGCATTAGGAAGGTTGAGAACCACTGACCTAAAGAATCGGGGGTTTTAGAGTGGGAACTCGATCCTAGAGAAGAGGCTTAGTGAAAGTTTGAACTTGAGTTGGAAGGGACAGTATGAACCAGGAGCTCTCTAAGAAACACAATGAAACTTCGAATTCTAGCTCTGCTCATAGCAGCCAGTGGCAATGGCTGCCCCTCACCCCATCCCTGGTTCTGAGACGCTGGGCCTTGAAGGGTGAGAGCCTAGCTCTAGGGTAAGACACACAGGGGTAAGCTGAGCACCTGACAGCCACCCTGACAGCAAAAAAGCTACCAAGACCACCAGGGACAGAGGTCCCACTAAAGGGCTCGTGGTGGCACTGGCATCACAAGAGCAAGGAGGGGCTGGCATCACAAGGTCCCAAAGGCCAGGAGAGGGTTTTGGGTGTGCATTTACCTGGGGGATAAACCAAAGCCACGTGGTCCCCAGCATCCAGTCGCCCCTTCTCCATCAGAGCAGCAGCCACTCTCTCGGCCCTTTTGTGCAGCTGGATGCAGGTTGCAGTGCTGGTGACTGTGCCCTAGAGAAGAATCAAGTTCATTGGTGTGCTGACCTCCTCAGACCCAAGAATATCTGCTCGGGAACCTGTGCGCATCCGTCTGCACACTGGGCTCCTGTGGTCAGAAATCAGATTATGTCAATGCTAGGCCAGGCTGGGGTCTGTGTGACAGATGCTTGTAGCAGAGGGGTGGGGATCTCTGAGTGGTCCAACCTGAGCCTAGAAGGGTAAATACTTCACTCATACCTGACAGAGCCGAAGACTGTAAAAAGCCAGAATACACATGCCTGGGACCCATCCGAATCCTGACTCTTTTCCTGGGACCTGTCTTATTGGCTTCCCCACTTCGAGCCTGCAGGACATTGCCCTCTGGCTCCTGCCCAGAGCCAGCACTCCAGCACTTACGCTTCTCTCTATCAATCCCCACAAGCTGACTACATCTTCATTGACAATCACTATCTGTCAGCATAACCTAGAATTCAACTATCGGATGGATATTTATTGAGGCACACCAGGAAGCAAGACAGCCTCTCACATAAGAAACTTGAGTTTCTAGCAGAGAAGATTTTTCTATTGCTTAAACACAGTGGGCATCAATAAACGTCTCTGAGTGGCTTAAGCATAGAGGCACAGTCCTGTGCCTGCATTTGAGGCTGAGAAAGGAAGATGGAGAGTTAAAGGCCAACCTGACATATACACCAAGATCCTGTCAGATAAAATTAAACAAAAAAGCAAATCTCTGAATGAGCAAATGAGTACCAGGGTCTAACTTGCATTTTCCAAGATCGTGGTACCTGCCCTTTGTGACAACAATCAAGGTCTCTTAAAGCATGGTTGATGTGGCTGGCAGGGATCACACAAAGTCTTCACAATGCTTGCTTCTGTAATCTTGCAATATGAGGGTTATAAAAATCTCCTTTAGATTCCACACATTCTGAGTATGGTGCAGAGTATTAACAGGTGTTCATGCCACGTGACACTGAATGTCTCAGCCACAAAGGAGAAGCAGTTTGGAGCAGCAAACGGTGTTTGTCATTTCAAAGGTCTAAGCAAATGTACCAAGTCTGAATGCATACATTTTACCACATAAACATTTCTTTTAGCTCATAAACCCAGGTGTTTACACAGATACAGTTCCTAATAAGAAAACAGAGCCAACAAGAATTTTCCAGATAAATACAAAATCAATGGAAAGACTTTGTGTCAACTGCACAAAGTGCAGGTCTCTACAAGAAAAGCAACAGCCGGGCGTTGGTGGCGCACGCCTTTAATCCCAGCACTCTGGAGGCAGAGGCAGGCGGATCTCTGTGAGTTTGAGGCCGGCTTGGTCTACAGAGGGAGTTCCAGGATAGGCTCCAAAGCCACAGAGAAACCCTGTCTCGAAAAACAAAACAAAACAAAACAAACAAACAAACAAAAAAACAAGAAAAGCAACAGGCAGAGAGAGCAGTGCCACAGAAGGGACCAAAACCTAACAGCATTCTATTGTCCCAACAAAAATAAGGAGGACTTAGAAATGACAAGCTGCAAAGACCCCCAAAGCCCTGCACTTACCTTGGCATTCAGCAGCAAGAACAGTGGGTGGTCAGGAGTGGTATGAGCTCGCCACTGCAGCACATCCGCCAGGAACAGGAACTGCACAGAGAGGATGGTCTGGCATCTGCACAGAATCTTGGATGCCACCTGCCCCCCACCAGCAGCTGCCCAGTACCTTCCGAGCCTGGTCACTGTCCTCCAGGTGGGCCAGCTCTCTCCCAGAGGCCTGAGCAATCCTTTTTCCAGCAACCAGGTTCCCAACAATCATCGAAGCTGGTCCAACTTCTACAAACAGATTCCAGATGACAAGCTGGGAACTTCTAAACTATAACTGTTACATGATGCTACTTACATATTAACACTATTTCAAAACACACCTGAATTGTGCCATGTAACATAGTTCTTAGGATGTTAACCAAACCATTAATGTTTTATTTCTTTACTATATTTTATGTGTAAGTCAGAATTCTTGAAGTGTGATACTTAGTGATATTTTATGTGTTCAATTATCAATAACAGAAATTTAGCTTTTCCTATTATATAACCGAAGCAATGACAAACTGAATATAATAGTTACACTGACTGGTCTTTATACTTAGTTTTGTGTTAAACCAGACACAGGAAACTGGCCCTTGAGAAACTTCCATTCCAGCAACCTAATGGCCACCAGAGGCTCCTTGGATTCCAGAGCCCACATCTGCTTATAGACATCATTTCTACCTCCAAGGAGGAACCCTTGAATTTACCATTAAAACTGGTTCCTAACAGGCAGATAGAAACCGACAGGCAGGTGCGCCGGCAACACTCCCTTTTGTGAACCAGGAGCTGGTGCATACATACTGACCCTTAACCCCAGGCCCAGAGAGGCGGGGACTTACTATTGCAAGACCCAGTGCAGCCACGCCCCTAGCCAGGACTGCAGTCAGCATCAATTTTAATTGATCAGACAGTCTTGTTATTAAGTACAACTAACCTGGCTGCTTCTGGCGAGGCTTGGGGAGGTTGGTAACACAGGTGTGAGGGCACATCAACACGTTACACGGGTGTAGCATCCCTTCCAGAAAGCGCTGCTTGGTTTCGGAAATGTGAATTCCTCCAAGAGGAGCCTTGGGCAAGGTGTTGGCAGGAACCAGGGCCAAACAGTACACACCCACCTGGTGGATGCTGTCGATGGCCTGGAAGGCAAGAACTCTGCTGAGCACATGCTGCCAGCCCACTGTGAGGAGAGCCAGAAGAGGATGCCACGCAGAACAGAAAACTGAAGTGTGGGAGGTGCAGGAGGCGGAGCAACCTCTGAAACGTCTCGTTAAACAAAGAGTGTGTCTATTTCTACCATAAGACGCAGAGTTTACACACACAAACACATAAGCCTATGCAACTGCTTTTATTAAAAACACAAATCTCAGTAGCCACAAAAACATGGCAAGGCCTCCAGGTGAGAAGAGGTGAACCAAAAATGATATAACTTAGACATCCTAAACTTGGAATTATGTTTATATTTCAAATATAACCAACTTAGGTATAAAAAGCAACCCCTAACAACTGAAAGTAAAAAGACTACTCAATCAGAGTTTAGCTAGCAGCCTAGTTCAGAGGCTCGACTTAATGTGGCCTTAAACAGTCATGATAGCTGATCCCCAGGGAGACGTGCTCAAAGGGAGAAAGCCGCAAAATCATTTGAGCTGTTCCCAGCTCTCCTGTCTGGGTCAGCATAGAAACCACACTTGTGAGACACGTGGCCAGAAGCCATTGACGGATACTCCTAGTTGTTGGCCACTACACTGACAGGAAGACAGTGACTTTGACTTAAGAGGAAATGTATGGTCTTGAGTTTGAATAAGAACTCTCAGCATAAATCCAGGATACAGAGACTCTTACAAACAAGCTGACAGATACTATTTTCTATCCTTCTTCTGCAAAGAGTCCAGAGTGATGACTAAGCAATAACTAGTGATGACTGAGTGATAACTAGTAAGGTCACATTCACAGACAGTGGCCCCCGATATCCCACTCAAGACTGCACAAGACAGCACTCTTGTGTCTGGACTATCTGTTCCTTCTATGGCCTCAGAGACCTCAGACTGTGTCAAGAGGCTCCCATTGATGCCTGAATGATAACAGTCATAGCTACAACACATTGAAACAGACATTTAAACCCATTGGCTCGTGATATAGCAAACAAGTCAACTCAGGGTTCACCCCCCACAGGATTCATTCATCTGAAATCCATTCACCATCTTTCCTTTCCGTATGTTCTAGTTAGTAATGAAGAAGGATAGATGAAAAAGTCACAGTGTGACTACCACAAAATCAATAGATCACAAGCGCAGGACGTAACAGTGCCAACAAAGGGGGCAACCCTGGCACCCTTAACCACCTTCAACAGGAGTCTCACCAAAAAACTGCCCTATTCCAATCAAGCCTCCAGATCCACTGAACAGGGACCACAGACACAGACACATAAGACATGACTGAAAAAGCATGGTCAAGTCAGACAGAGGAAATGCCACTCCACGACCCATTTTCCTCCAAATTGCCAAAATAACAGGGGCATCTACAGACTAGAAAGACCTTGTCCCTACCAATGCTGTGATTGGGAATTTGAACTTCTAATTTTAAGATATGCTAGCGGTACTTAACGCAGGAACACAGGAAGCAGGGAATGTGGGGCTGCTGTATTTTGTTTAGACTCGACAAATCTGAAGCGCTGTACAGCAAAACAAAGCATGGCCTCTCTGACTTTCATGGCACAGATATCTGATTCCCTTTTAACTGTCTGTCATTTGTAAGTCTCCGCGTGGTGAGAGTAGCGACCATCCCAGCATGCCCACCTGTAGCACACGGCTCATCCACTGGAAACTGTCTTCCTCTGACGCGTCAGGCCGCTGTTCAGCCACCAAGACAATCCGGTCATCGTGCAGCACGGTCACGGAGAACACAGCGATCCTGAGAGAAGACAAAGGCAAAGTGGCTACACAGCAGTGCGAGGTTCTCCTCTCTCAATTCATGTGTCATGAACACATTATCATAAACGCACAAAGTGACCTGGCATTGTAATCTCAGGTATTATAGCCGCAACAGTTTCAGCTCACAAAATGAAAACATTGTAGTACCAAGCACACATTTTTTTAAATTTCTTTTTTTGTTGTTGTTGTTTTTATATCCCTACTGCCCTTTCCTCTGCCTCCTCTCCTTCCAGTCCCACCTCCCCCACCTCCCCCTCCTCTAGTCCATTCCTCCTCCATTTCTCTTCAAAAGGGGCAGGTCTCCCATGGATATGTCAACTGTCATGGCATATCAAGTTGCAGTGAGACTAGGTACCTCCTCTCCTATTAAGACTGGACTAGGATACATAAATCTCACTGTGAAGGGGAAAACTTGTTAATTCTAATGTTAATGTAATATTTCCTTGTGAATAAGTCTTTAAAAGTTTTACTTTGTAAACAAAAGATCAAATCCTTCAGTAATGAGTTAGTACTAATTGTGACTGGTTTATCTGGACTTGTTTCTACCACCTAACTTTACAGATTTAACAAGTCCTCTTCCGTGTAAATTTGCTTTTTCCGTAAGGATTGAAGAGACGGTTCAGAGGTTAAGAGTTCTGGCTGCTCTTCCAAAGGACCTGGGTTTGATTCCAAGCAGCTACATGGCAGCTAGTGATCTGTAACTCCAGTCCCAGGGAATCTGATGCCCTTTTCTGGCCTCTGTGGGCACCAGGCACACATATGGAGCACAGGCATGCATGCAAAATACCCATGCACATAAAATAAACATACATAAATTTAAGAGTATGTTGTCTATGTTTTCCTGCAGCGTGTGCATCTGGCTGCAGTCGTGTGGTCAGAGGAAAACTCTCAGGAGTCAGTTCTCACTGTCCACCATGTAGGTTCCAGGGCTGGACTCTCTTCCTTTTAATTTCTTGTGTTTGTGTGCAGGTGTGTGCATGCGTACATGTGACTTTTCCTTATCTGTGTATGTATCTGCCTGTGTGCATAGCACCTTCCTTATCGTTTTGAACTAGCAAGGCTATCTCTGTCTTCTCCCATCAAAGTTAAGAGGTTGGGTTTCGGCTGGGTGTTGGTGGCGCACGCCTTTAATCCCAGCACTCAGGAGGCAGAGACAGGCGGATCT